TACAGATATTTGTTATTTGTTTACATTGCATCAACTATTGAGAAAAATACGGTATTTTATGAAAACATATCGTTGGTTTTTGTTCAACACTGATATTTTAAGCAAAATTCAATATTAAATGATAAGAGACAAAGACCTCGCGTTCAGGGAAGATACCTGGGGGGAAATTGTACAAACTCTATGGCATTGCTTTGTAAAATATTTGAAGAGATTTTTTTTCTAGCCTATTTTTTTCAATTCTAAATTCACCCTTGGCTTCATCATAGGTAAATTATTTTACTAAAAATAAATATAATTTAGGTTTTGTACATTATTGGATATCTTTTACTCTAGCTAATACATTTTACTGTGTTTATACATTCATAATCCGATATTTAATAAATAATAGTATAAGTTTAAAAGAACAATTGTGTTCTAAAAAAACAACAATACATCTATAAAAGTTGTTGATGTAAATATGGCTTCGCATATTATGCTACAACTTAAGCTGTATAATGCCAACAGATATTTGTTATTTGTTTACATTGCAACAACTATTGAGAAAAATACGGTATTTTATGAAAACATATCGTTGGTTTTTGTTCAACACTGATACTTTAAGTAAAATTCAATATGCAAGTTAAATTATAATATGAACGATAAGCGACAAGGGCATTTGCGTTCAGGTAGATACAAGGGGGGATGATGTACCATAAGCTCCTCACTTGATTAGAGACAAGGGAGGATGCTTAGGAAGGGGGCTATTGGTGTTATTGCTTTTTCCTTACGTACTTAAATAGTGTGCATTAAAAGTGTATTTTTATAGGCTTTAATTTTAAAAAAAAAAAATATTTGAATATGTATTGTTTTTACTATAATATAAACTTTAACTTTTAAGTCTATTGATTTGTATAATTAAATTGTATTTGAAGAGAATTTCTATTTCTAGCCCCTTTTTTTAATTCTACATTAGCCCTGGTTTCATCAGAGATAAAAGGTCATTACAGCATCTTGCGAAAGCAGACAACTTTGTAATTCTGTTCACAGTTGACCTCAACAACGAGGCCAAACACTAAAAGGAACTTAATGTTTTGGCAACTACCGCGCGAATCTCACATCGAAGCTAGCCAATTTCGACCATGCGAAGGCTGCACTCTCATGCCTCTACCTTTCCTCCACCGTTGACATAAGCGGATGTCATGGGCGAGCGAGGTCATCCACGCGCGGACTTTCGATAATTGCGAAGATTTCCACGGCCATTCAACGAGCGGACCAGCATATAAGGGAGAACTTGAGTCATAGCAGAGGAGATGAGTTGGGTCCGCCACACACTACACTTGAAGTTTCTACCTATCATTTTCTTTTGAAGTCTTAAGCGGCTTATAATTGTCTTAGTCATCTATTTATGAAGCATACTGAACTTATGCTATTAACTGTTTGACGTTGTACATGTTTTATAAGTATATCAAATTAAATGTTTGTGATTTACTCTGAAGTTAGTCTATTAAATATCTAAAAACCTATCACCACGATTGTGACAAGACTCAAACAGCCTGCAATACATACGTACAGGGCTACAGGGTTGTTACAGAAATCTAATTTCATTGATTGCCAATTAGTTGGGTGTTTTCGATAAGAATTGGATACTTAAAATAATTAAATAGTCATTATAAAGTGTTTGGTAAAGGAAGGACAATCTGTGTAGTCGTCTTTGAGCGGGGTAGTATACCAGTCTTTATTAGGATAGGTAGCCTTGGAATAGGATAACGAAATAGATCTAACTAGCAAAAGAGTTTTGTGTAGTACCCCGACTAGTTGTTAAGCAGCCTGAGAGGAGATAACCAAAACTAAATTGTATAATATACAACTAAATCACGAAAGTGATTTATCACTTTCAGATTTAAAAATTCCTGTAAATCTGTAACTTCCCCGTCCCCACTATGCCCCGACCCCACTGTACTGGTTTTTTAAAATTTATTTTATAAAATAAAAACTACATTTTATTACATTTAATAGGGTATTTGCTTACAAGGATGGTATATTAAGCCTTTATAATTTACATTGTAAGGATTGGCAAACCTTAAAAAAAAGTATGTATCATTTTATAGTGACATTTTTATTGAAGCGAAATAGTTTTCCTGATATGATTGTCGTAGGGTTAACTAATGAAAATTCAAGCTGTTATTTATAACAACTTTTGTTCCTTATGGTTTAAAATGTTTAAAATTTAAATGCATTGTAGAACCCTGTTGTTATAATAATTGTAACCAATACCGTATATGTACAGTACATAAATAGTTACATAAATATATGACATATCTCTATATAATACATGTTTTATAAACATAACTTAGATATCAGTATTTTTTTGTAAAACCAATTATCAAGTATTTTGTATCTTGAATCTGCATACTTTAATAAAAGTTGTAAGCCAATATTGTAGTATTGTTTTTTTTATCAAAACCAAACTGTTATTATCAGCAATCGTTGTAATGTAAACAAATGGTAACTCAGACTTTGTATATTATAAGAAACTTCGTATTTTACAAAAACAATTTGTATGGTTTTTTTTTTTATAGAAAACGACTTGTTTTGCTAAACATATTTTGTTTTGCAGTTGTTTTTTTATTTAAATGATTCACCTCATTTATTTATTTCGCGGTAGAATCTCGATGTTTCAATAACTATAGCAAATACCCTGTTATGCCTAACTATTATTATTTGACATAATACACTTAATAGGCATTTTAGATAAAATATTTTTTCTTGCTGAAATGCTAACAATAATTTTTCTTTAACTAAATACAATACTTTTCCATAATTTGTATTGTTTTAAATTGCGCGGTTATTTTTTAACATGAAAACATTATGCTAGCAATATTAACATTTTTTACAACGACTGTTGTGTTGTTAAAAAATTCCAATACTTTTTCGTATACTTATAATTTTTAACGACTTAAAAACCTAATTTACATAATTTCAACACTAAAAAAGTAAAAAAAACATAACGATAACTCTACAATTGGCTACATTAATATTAAAGTCATTATAACACTTAAGGACAAAAAAACTAAGTAGAGATTATTGTATAGTGAAAACAATATACAGGTATTCTAGTATTTAATATTAAAAAAGTTAGAGCCAAAAAAATAAACTTAAAATGCACACAATTTAAGTGCGTAAGAGAAAAGCTTCAACACCATTAGCCCTCATCTCAAGCATCCTCCCTTGTCTCTAAACCATTTAAATAATAGTTTAACTTGAAGTAAGTGAAGGACTCTTGGTCCAATATTCCCCATTAAATCTGCTCTAAACGCAAGGCCTTTGTCTCTTATCATTCATTTTATAATTTTACTTGCAAATTGAATTTTAGTTAAAATATCTGTTGTACTAAAACCAACGATATGTTTTCATAAATACCGTATTTTTCTCAATAGTTGTTGCAATGTAAACAAATAACAAATATCTGTTGGCATTATACAGCCTAAGTTTTAGCATAATATGAGAAGCCATATTTACATTAACAACTTTTATAGGTGTATTATTGTTTTTTGGTACCAAAATTTACATAAACAATTCTGCAAAATACATATAAATTGTATTGTTTTGGGCGACAAATTATAAGCCATTCGATAAGTCGTAAAAAATCCATTGAAGCAGTCAGTATAGCTATCATTGAAATTATTTAAGTAAGTAATTTACGGGACTGCTGTCTTATTTTTAGTGGCTTATATATTTTCTAAATGTACAATGTATTAAATGTATCCGAAATAGTATTTTAAATATAATTGCTTTCAAAAATCACTTTTTTTTGAAAATATTTACAATCTGTTGTTAAATCTGTTTAATTAAAAGTTATATTATCCTAGTAAACCAGTACAGGTATTTCTTGGCTTTAGTGGTTCGTCCCGAGGGTATCCCCATACAACTGCGGACCGACTAGTATCTCTGGGTGCTATGTGAGGGCCGAGGGGTGTCCCAAGAAGAAGTGACCTGGGGTCGAGGCATAATGAATTAAAAAAGTATGGACGGAGAGGTCGAAGGTTTACAGACATTAATTTTAGTAAAAGAGGTAAAAATATTTTTTAATAAACGCTAAACGCTTTGACGCTAATTTTCAACGTAGTCGTTATAAAAAAAAAAATTTGAAAAATATTTCGTATTTTCTTGATGCTTTGCTTATGTTAAATATTTTCATCCATTCCACACATATTGTGAATAGACATCTACATATTAAAATATTGTTTTAATACTATTTTTTGCTGGTCTAATACAGTCGTTTTTACCTCATTACAGTCATACGTGTCTTTCTAATAGTACTCCCGCGTGTAATCTAAAAGTTTCAAAGCGACAAACCGTATCCATATCGCCTAGACATAATTGACATATGTAGTTTTTATTGAAAACAACTATTTTTAATTAAACCATACTCTGAAACGCGTAAACGACAACAATTTTTAAAACTGTTAAACATGTATCAATAACTGTTTTCAGTATTTTCTGTAATCGTAATTTGTGGTTACGTAATCTTTGCATCTATGTAAGAAAACCATGATTTTGTATCTTCGTGTTTATTGTAACAGAAGTTTAAACTACATGCCAGAGCAATGTAAATAAGTAAATATAATGATAAAGAAATAATATAGCACGGAGTTTAAACATTTACATAGGCAACTCTGCCATAAACGTTTAGATTTTATTGTAAGTATCGCTATACCTCCGTCTAATATAACACATTTTAATTTGCATTATTATTTGCAGACAAAAATGAAAATTATTTGTGCATTACTCTTCTGTGCTATTTTCAATATTTTGGCGACTGATGGTATGTAATTTATTTTTACAAGTATCTATTCGAGATACTTGGTTCAAAAAAACTAAACAAAACTAAATATTCATCTTTTTTAAAGATAAGTTAGAGGATAGAAAGAAGCTCGAAGCTACAAGTCAGTACATTTTTTGTTTACAAAATACTTTTTTAAGTTTTAAGACTAACAGTTTTTATACATAATTTGTAACAGACAAACTCCTTCAAATGCATGTTAGTAAAAGTAAGACATACTAAAAATTATTAATACTATAAATTTAATGGTTTTGTTGTACTTGTGATTTACCTGACTATAAGGTAATTTATATTTACGACCTATAATCTCTGTAAATAAATGTTTCCTATTATTGGCTTTTGAGTGTATTGTATTTTTAAAAAATGGTTTATACTGAAGAACTCCAGGAATTATCGTTAATGGTGAAGTCGAGGTTTGATAATAAGCTCAAATGATGCAACTTGTTTTGAGAATATTTCTCCAAAGAGTCCCCATACGAATAATATAATTACATTATTATTGATCTAGAATGGATATTATAGAATAATTGTGTAATGAAATTTCAACAGGGTTTATCACTAGTTAAATGAGCCACGTTTAACTCAAAATATACTTCTATTCAGAACGTTTTATACTTATGATGTAGCATAAAAATTTAATTTGATTTTTTTACTCAACCAATTATTTGTTTATTTAAGGTACACTTTGGGACAGATTCAAACATTTTGTTTGTCAAAATAAGTACTCAATGGGTAACTATTATTCTAAAACAAAACCGATTTAGTATGCTAATAGACGAAATGTTTTGGAAATGATACAATAATTATTGCAAAAACAATTTATCAATGCAATTTTATGAGTGATTTACTCGTTAAAATTAAAATTAAATCACTCAATAATTATTTGTAAATTTAACTCCCTTATTATTATTAAACGTGTATTTTCTTCGTTGACTTAATCCTTTAAATTTATAATGGAACATGAAATTAAGTGTAATATCGTTTAAAAATAATTTTTTTGTAATCATAATTTCAGAGCAATTGGCTTTTATGTTCGCAATACCTGGTAATAATTGAAAATATTTCCATATAGTTGTTGGTTATTCACAAGTATAAAATGTTTTCGTTTTAATTTTAGAACAAGATTATAATGCAGACCCAAATACGCGTAATTCCTATTACATATTAATATCACATTACACACGGCTTTTGCATTAGTTTTTAAATTATGAGAAAAATCAAATACATATTAATTTTGCTATACATAAAAATGCATTTTGTTTTTTAATTTAAGAGCCCATACTTGAGCGTGAACTGCAACAAGGACTACTCATAGAATCAGGTAATCAAAAAATTCAACATATTTTCTCAAACACTTTACAAAACTATTAATTACATTTTAATTGCTAATAAAAACATTCGATTTGAAATCATAGTCATAAACTAAATATTTTTCACTTAGTTTTAATGATTGTTTTATATCATTCCGTTCATTTCTTTTACTCAAATGTGGCTACTACATATTATTTCAAGTGCTCTAAACTGAATCGATTATTTATGAAAGGGAATTTCTGTAAAAAGTTAAGCTTTCGGGTAATTAAAAATAACTGTGTTTCACATACAATTTTTATTAAAAATAATTATTAAAAATATTTTAAATTTTTATGTGCTATACTTATTTTAATTTGTGAACAATTTTTTTTTAAATGTGTTGTCTAACCAACAGTATGAGTTTCAATTAAATGAATTTAACTATCATACGAATTCGACTTTTTTCATTCAGAAACGATCCGTCTATAGCCACAGAACATATTTATTAAAAAATATCTAGTTATTGTCTCCGCTCCACGGAAAAACATTGAATCGTGGAAATGCTTTAGCATTACGGGTCCGTATAACCCATAACGATTGTTTTATTATTAGGTATAATTAATATAAACATTGAACATTTCAGTAAGATGCTTTTATATTAAAAAAAATGTAATAATGTATGTAATCATAAGCTTGTCACTCTTCGTACACCCCGCGGTAATTAATCGTAAAATTCACACTGAATAAACTAGTGTACACGAGTGAATGAATGAAATGAAAATATAAAAAACTGAATGGAAAAGTCGTAAAACTTTATCGACCGCAGCAACCATTAATTGCTTTCTTATTACTATACTTACACGTTTTACGCATATGACACTAGTACTTTTTCTTAATAAAATAACATTCTAGCGTATAGTGTTTAAGCAAGTTTGGCTTTTTAATAATAGCTCATTAGATTTATTTTAGCATTACGGTTCCGCATTACCGCATTAGTACCCATTATTATTATTCAATCACTAAATCTTTATCTTTATGTTGATGACGCGAAATCGTAACACAAATTTTCCACGCAAATTTTGGAATGACACCCCGTCCGATATCATATCCATGTTACTAGTAATATTCAACAAAATTTTGACTTAGTCTATGTAATCTTAGTTTGAAATTACCGTTATACGTGGATTAACAAAATACTTATTTTCAATAATCGTACAATTATTCATTGCATATTTTGATGTTTTAGTTACAGGCAATATTCAATTCGCTCAGGTTGATGACATTGGTAATTACGCTTTATTCGATATTGGTAAATAGCGCTTAATATCTAGATGGTCATTCGAAATTTATTTTAAGTCATTAAGGTTTCCGTAACGTAATGAGAATAAACTGTTAAAATGAAATCGTTCAATTTGCAAGTTGATAATAATCTAAATTTAACATTATACAAATATTTGTTCTAAAACTATATGTTCATTTAAACGCTACATATGTTAACTTTTAAAACGTTACCTCCAACTGACCGCAAAATTGTTACTTCATTGAACTTATAAACTTATAACATAACATGTTTTAACTTCAAAAACTTCCACCTTGAATTGAATCTTGAATGTTTATTTGCAAAAATTTAATTAACAAATCGTTTTTATACATTCAGTTCAGTGTAACGGTTTTTAAAGTTAAAACATATGACGTCATAGGTCTTCAAAAACCGCTATCCTTAACAGAACGTAAAAAATGTATTTTTCATCAAATTTTTTGTATATGAACGTTTTAGATTCGTTCATTTAAATAATATTTTTTTGAACTTAATCTGCATTCCTACAATACATTTATTGGTACATAAAATAACTAACACATCGTAAATCCTTGTCAATGAGATTAATAAAAAAATGTACACCAAATGAATACAAAAAAACATGGCTTTATAAAAAATATATATTATTTTTTCATAATGAAATCATTTTTAATGTAAATTATAACACATCTTTAAACCAAAAATATATTCGTTTGTATTTTTATTTTTATTTTTTTTTTTTTATTTGAAATATACAATCTATGCCCTAGGCATAATAAGAATATGTGCTACAAGTAATTTTCACATGAATAGGGTGAGGGAAGAAACCATCCAGTGATCGCACTTCCTTTTGCTTATTTATATATAAATCTTATATATAAATTTTTAAATTTTTACTTTTTTTTTTTTTGGTTAATCATTAAGGAGATCTCTACACCAGTTTCTTTTTGGTCGCCGTGGTGGGTTTCCAGGAATCGTGTGAGTTGCTAGTCCAGATATAAGAGGGTTTGGGTGAGAGGACAGTTTATGGAAGACACGTTTATAGAACGTTTTGGCTTCTTCATGTATAGTTTTAATTTTTAAGTCGGAGTGGATAGAGAAATTGGAAACATAAGGTGGGGCATTGGTGATGGAGCGAAGGATTTTGTTTTGAGTGGTTTGTATTTTATTAAGATTTGATTTCTTGGCATTGCCCCAGAGTTGAAGTCCATATGTCCACATAGGCTTTATTAAGGATTTGTAAATGAGCAATTTTATATTTAATTTAGTATGTTTATTAGTTAATAATGTTTTAAGCAACCGATGACGTGCGTTTAAGGCAAGTTTTTTTTCTCTTACGTGTAATGCCCAAGTGAGGCGCCGATCAATGGTTAGCCCTAGGTATTTTATTGATTGAGATGAAGGGATGGGTATATCAGCTAAAGAAACTGCGGGACATGGGGTAAGTCTAAGTGTAAATGTGGTATGTAGCGATTTTGATTGGTTTACTTTAACTCTCCATTTATCGTACCAATTAGACATTAAGTTAAGGTGATGTTGAAGATTTAAGGAAGCTAAAATTGGGTCTTCGTGTATTGCTATAATTGCCTTGTCATCCGCAAACTCAGCTACTATTGTGTTTGGAGAGGTAGGTTGGTCAGCGGCATATATATTATATAGAATTGGTGACAGTATGCCACCCTGGGGAACTCCTGCATTAATGTTTGCAATGTTTGAGTAAGATGAACCAAACCTAACTTGAAAGTGGCGGTCGGTTAAATATGATTTAATTAACAGGTAGTACGTTGGTGGAAGAAAAAGTTTTAATTTATATAGCAGTCCTTCGTGCCAGACCCGATCAAACGCCTGGGACACGTCGAGGAACACGCAGGAACAGTATTTTTTTTTTCAAGAGAAAAAAATATAGCGTCCACTAGCCTGTGCAGCTGGTGTGTTGTAGAGTAAGAGGCACGAAAGCCAAATTGAGTGTTAGGAAGTACATTACTGGAGTATATGGAAGGAAGGATTCTTTTTAAAATTAGTCTTTCGAATAATTTGGCGAAGAAGGGCAGGAGGCTTATTGGTCGGTATGATGAAGGTAGATCGGAAGGCTTTTTGGGTTTAGGGAAAAGTGTGATGATTGAAAATTTCCAGAGTAGTGGGAAGTATGCCAATCTTAGGGCAGCATTAAATATGACTGTTAGTAGAACGATTGCTCTTTTTGGGAGACACCTTGCTACTTCTGCAGTGATTAAGTCATAGCCTGGGGACTTTTTGAGGCTGTATTTCTGTAGAGCAAATTTAACATCATTTGGAGTAAAAGATTTAGTGGGAAGACAAAGAGGAAGGTGGGTATCAAGGTACTGCTTCACTAACTCAGTATTTTGTGGATTTTGTATATCAGTGTGAGGACTGACGGTTTCTGCTAGGTGGTTTTTTAGTATTTCAGCTTTTTCAGTATCTGTGGAAGCGAGCCCACCATCTGGTTGGATTAACGGGGTGTTTGGTGCTGCGTGTTTTAGAAGTTTTTAGTAGCTTCCCAAAGACTTTTATTAGGTGATAGATTGGTGAGGTAATTGACTTGGAGTTGGTTTTTATGTTTAGCTAGTATTTTTTTTAGAGAGTTTGCTAGATTATTAAAGTTGCGTTTATGTGATGGAAGGCAATAGCGTTGATATAGCGCCCTAGCTCTGCGTTTGTTAGCTATTAGGATGCGTATGTGTTCGGGAATTGTTAGTGAATTATTTAAAAATTGCGTTTGCGTTGGGGTAGCGTCCCAGGCTGCGGGTTGAATTATATTTGTAAGTTTATTTATTGCGTCGTCAATTTCCTGAGTGGTTTTGAGGCTAACCTTCATATTTATATTTTGGTCAACTAAATTGTTAAATTTACACCTATCTGTAGTCGGCTGAAATAGTTTAGGAGGAGATGAACGGATTGATGGAGAAGCACTGATGGTCAGAAGTGATCCGAGGTAGGTTCAAGGAGATTTCCCGTCGTAAGGTATATGTTGGATGGTGTGTTGGAAACAAAAATGTCTAATATATCCGGTTTTTTGCGTATGGAGGTAGGCCAGTAAGTTGGTCTTGGTGGAGCAGAAATATTGTAGCCTTTCATATTTATAAAATTGTAAAGTACCATACCTCTGGGGTTGTTAGTGCGGCAGCCCCAGTTGATGTGCTTAGCATTATAATCGCCCCCTATGATAAAATTATGACTAAGTGTACTAAAATAGTCCGCGTAGTTTTGAATGTTGATATTATGTTTTGGAGGGGAGTAAATTGCCGCTATAGTAGTTGGTATGTTATTGATATGTAATAGAATGGCACATGACTGTAAATAAGGTTGGCAGAAGTTTGGAATGGAATGGTACATCAGGGAGGGCTTAATATAAATCGCTGCACCTCCATGCGCTGTGTTGTCCGGATGATTTGATTTATGAAGATTATACCCATTAATGGGAATGTGGGAATGTTTCGTGAAATGTGTTTCAGAAATTAGCGCAATATCTATGCGCTTTTCCTGAAGGACTAGTTGCAATTTATTTACGTGATTTTTAATACCATTGGCATTAAATTGAAGAATTAGAATAGAGTTGTTCGTGGACGAAGACATTATTTTTTATCTAAAAGTTTTGAGACTACTTTAGTGAGAAGAGCTATTAATGGGTTAATTAATTGTTTGAACTCATTCATGAAATTCACCATTAGTAGATTAATATCTGGAGGAGGAGTAACTATATTATTAGCATTAGAGTTGGAAGTAGCTTGTGCATAGGTATAATTTGGAACAGGTGGGTGGGTTGAGGAGGTTTTCACTGGTTGTGTTTCTTGTACATGAGTATTTTTAGGACTAATATTATCAGATACCTGGTTAGTTGACTTTGGTTTTTTGCGTCGTTGGAGGTCCCTGTAGATCGAGCAGCCTTTGTAATTGGACGGATGGTCCCCGGAGCAGAGTGCGCACTTTGGAGGGACATCCCGGGAGTTTGGACAGTCCGACGTCATTTGATGGGCAGCGCAGCGTACACAGCGTGCTGGATAGCCGCAATAGGATTTAGTGTGCCCATAATCTTGACATTTTGAGCACTGGCTTAAGGTTTTTGGTTTATACGGCTCTTCCACTTTTATTAGTGTATGAAGTAGTGACGTAAGTTTAAAGATGTCATTAGACTGTTCATTTGGTTCAAGGTCCACAAAAAACAGCGGAAGTGGATGTTTATTAATCTTATGGAGTACGCTTGATACTTGCCTGACTTCAAATAGACGCGTTTCAAGCTCGGATTTGATTAGCTCAGTTGGCGTGGATGGATGGAGGTTTCTAATCACAACGCGTATTGGTTTGTCTTCATTAAGTTGGAAAGTATGAAATTCGGCCTTTTGGTCCCTTAGGAAGTGGACCAGTGATCTGTACGATTCAGGATTAGCTGTCATTATTTTCAACCGATCTGTTGACGATTTGCAATAGAAGTTATCTACTCCAATTAATTCGATAAGTGTAGTGCAAAGGTCAGGAAAGTTGGATAAGCCTCTTACAAAAATTGGGGGTGGTCGATGTGCTTTAGGTTCGGTGTTGCTGGAACCTGATGGATTTTGATTTTGGATAGAATCTATATTATCATTCGGTGGAGGTGCGGGCGGAGGATCATCTTGCGATAATACTTCATACAGATTTGTGGAAAAAAATAGTTTTTTATTTTTATTTTTGTTTAACGGCGTTCTTGGTGAGCTATGTTCGGATGAGCTTGAATGAATTCTTTTGGTTTTAGTTGTCGTAGATTGTGTCCACTCATCCGGAGAGGAGTTATCATTATTTGAGGTGTTCATTGTATCAGTAGCGCCTGAGCTATTCGTAGAAGTTGTTTGGTTTTTAAGTTTATTTGTTCGATGATTATTAGAATCGTCGTTATTTATCTTGGTGGTAAATAAATTCAATTTATTACTGTTATTTGTGTTCTTGATTGCGAGTGCAGGTGATTGTGGCATTGCAGGTACAGGTCAAGGTCCAGCCGCCGCGCGTGATAACGACGACGACAACGAGTGCCGCAACGATAAGAAGAGCACTACGACGATGTTGTAATTTACTCGAATAATTTAAAATTGTGCTTACGTTAGAAAATGCGATAACGGTGAATGGAATGACGGAGCGTAGCAAAAACGAGTGTGCATGCTACGGACGCCACACGCGAACTATATTCGTTTATATAAAATATTTTTGTGACTTGTGTTAGTTATATACACAAAACACAAATATACATTTTATTAATTCTTCTTTTTAATACCTTAAGAATACTAAACAACAAGAATAATTAGTCTTTTTTTTTTTTTTAATTATTTTATTAAAAACTAATATCAGCTACAGTAATAACAGTTAATGTTTTTTATAGATAAATATAGATGTTAAAAAGCTGTCGAAAACTTAATGGCATCTAATAGAGCATGAAGCTGACACTATAAAGGGTGAACCACTCAATATCGCAGAGGTTTCATAAGAAATTCATTTTTTTTTTCATATTATTTTAATACATTGTGATCTCAATCTTCCCCCTTCCCAACTTGGTTATTTTGATAGCAACTTTTAAACTTAAATGGTATTGTTTATATTTGATTAACTTTTTAAATTGAGAATAATGTGTTATAAATTTTGACTGGCAGGAGAAAGGGTGGAGTGTAGTAATATTTTTATCTGCGTGCATTACCATCCATACTTCCCCTCCCATCCTAACTTTTAAACCCTCATAACTTTAAAAATATTTATCCAAAACTGGTTATCGACCAGTTAACATTTTTAGATTTAAAATTTAATTATTGATTAAATCCAGTGAGTTATTCAGTGGTTCACGATAAGTTGATCACCCTGTATTATAGCTTGTATTTTAGTTTGAGGATAAATGGTAGTAATAATTTTAAGTGTTCTCTTCTGAACGTATAAAACGTGTCCTATAAATTATAACCATTTTCGTAATATTGGAATTTTGTATATCGGACTTTCAGGCCCATTGCTGCAACACACACTTCCTTCCATTTCTCTCTATCCATTGCTCTGATTCTACTGATCCTTTGTGACTTTATCAATTCATCGTTGTTTAGTTCTGCCTAAGGGCCTCTTTCCTCGTGGTCCCCAATTTAGGACCTTCTTCACAATCATGTTAGACCTTAGTTAGGTATGTGACTTAGCCAGCTTAGTCTTTTGGCTCTAATTACTTCAATTATATTTGGTTCTCCAAAGCCATTGTATACTTCTTCGTTTGCCCTCATTTCATACCTTTTTGTTACATTAATTATTTTTGGTCCACATATATTCCTTAGAAACTTTCTTTCTACTATAGCCAATATTCTCTCATCCTCTAACGTTGTTGGCCTTGCCTCACATGCATACGTTATAATAGGTATTGCTATTATTTGTATAGTCTAATTTTCGATTTCTTTGATAGTAGCTTTGAGCGCAGGCACTTAGATAGTGCATGTAGACATCTTATATAAAGAATGTTTTAAAAAGACACCATGTAAACGTATAATTCCAATAAAAACATATATGAACGATTTGTGTGTTTTTCGAATAATGTAGTTTGCAAATTTTAAATTTCGCTGTGCTTACTTAGGTTACATAATTGCCATTATAAAAGCACTTTACAAAAGTATTTATACTTTTTTAACACATTTATTGAATTTTTCAGGTAGTGGTACAAACAATGTGAAAAGTCTTGGAGCTGACAGAAGAATTCTGTTAAGACCACATTTCAGAGAGTTATTACTCGATATTATAAAGAGTAAATATTAAACTACTAAAAGTTTATTGGTTATACGGAGAAAATTCATATTTGGACCAACAAACTTTACAGTTATCACGATACATTTATAGTTGAAATAATAACATAAATAAATCGTTCAACTAATTTTCTATTTCAAGAAACTACAAACTTAGTCCAACAAATTATTTAATACTTATTTCACCGTTACAGTTTTTTTATTAGGTTGTATCCGTACCTCAGAGCAAAAGTGTATTAAATAAAAAATTATAATTTTCTGGTTTTTTGGTTTACTTAGATTTAAGTTGCACGCTCTATTCACTGCCTTTATAATATATAAATGATATTTAGTATATATATATATATCTTATATGACTTTTGGGCTCTAGATGGGTCCATCTAAGTTCATTTATTTTAATTAATTAGTTAATTATTTATTAGAGGTTTAGAGGTGGACGTTCAAGAAAAAATGAAAGCGACGAGTGTGAGTGAAAGTAATAGAGGAAATGTATGATGGAGCAAGTACAAGAGTGAAGAGTTTGTGTGGAGAAATAGAAGATTTTAGTGTAAGAGTAGGTGTGCATCAAAGTATAGCGTTGAGTCCTTACTTGTTTTCTTTAGTAATGGACGAGATTACGGAAGATGTACAATGGGAGGTGCCTTGGTGTATGTTGTTTACGGATGACGTAGCGTTAGTGGGGGCAAGTCCGGTAGAATTGGCTGAGAAACTTAAAGGTAAAAGACTGAGGATTAGAAGGAGTGAAACGGTGACAATCGTGTTTAATTTTGGAGAATGTTATAGGGTATGAAATGTATTGCAGTTGGGTGATATTGAAGTGTGTAAGGTTGATAGGTTTAGGAAGAAGAAATTAGTAATTATTAATTTATTAATAAATAATTTTATTATTTGTTCTCCTGTAAAATTGATATTTTTTGACTCAATACACTTTTTCTCTTGGAAGAGGATATAAGATTAACCTTAATTTTAGTTTGTCCAACTATGTATTTTTTGTCAGTGCAGCAAGCTAAATTTGGATGAATTTAAAAAAAAATGTTTAGACCCAGAGAGCCACAATGTTACATTTGAGCATACATGTCGATTGCTAGGATTGTTCTTAAGTGTAAAGGATGCAGAAAACTACTCAACTTCTGCTGTTGTTACACCTCCGCCTGACAATACTTGTGTCATAAGTCATGGAGAAGCAATCTTGAAGTCTTGCAAATATTTCTCACGTCTACGTCTTGTAGAGAACCAAGACCATAAGAATGTAAAGGGTGACATATCTCTTAATATATTACGTTATTAATTGTTTTTGTAGTTTAAATTTTTAGTATATTTGGAAACTTATATCAACATTGTTTATTAGTTTAATGTACTGCAAAATAAAAAGACTTTGCTCGCTATTATAAATTATTTCATTACTTTCAGTCATAATTTGTATTGGCTTAATATACAGGCCATTTAGGTCCTTTGTCGAGACCACTACTCCTCTCCATCCATCCCATCTGTTAACATTGCTTAACCATAATTTAATATTAGTAAGTTTAAGTCCTTACTTTTTTTTGACATTTACATGTCTAAGCTCTTGCACATAACCGGAAAAAGCGTTATCAAAAAAGCGTTACCACACGGAGATGGGGTTGGGAATGGGGATGGGGGTGGGAATTAGCTCTGGCACATAACCGAAAAAAGTGTTCTTTACAAAAGCGTTACAAAACCATTACGGGGGTAGGAGATAGGGGTAGAAGGTAGGGGTGGGAGATAGGGGGTGGGAGATGGGGTGAGTGATAGGTGGTGAGTGAAAGGGGTGGAAGATAGGGGATGGGAGATAGTGGGTAGGGAATAGGGAAAGATATAGGAGATAAGAGAGAAGAGATATGTTGTACGTTCAACGTTCAAATTAGAACTAAATAATAAATTCAAAACAGTTTAGGGGCCTAAATTCTCTATGAATTGCTTTAAGCTAAATATTAAACACTACAATATTAGCCAGAAACTTGATGTTTTAATATACTAGCGCTTGTTACTGCTTCTTAATATACTATATCATTATTTATAATTCCACCACTACTCTAAATTTATCTCGGTACTTCAACGAGACATGTAAATGATCTTTAGTGGTTGCAGAATCGGCTGAAAAACTTTTTAAAATTAATTTAATACAGAATATGGACTCAGTTTATATAGTTTACTTTGGTCAAAGAAATATTCGTTTGAAAATATTTTAGTTATGGCTCTCCCATACAAATATTTAGACCGCTGCCAATCATTAACGGAGCCAAACGAGTTAGTTCAAGAATCAAGAGGTCACATTTTCATTACAACGTTTAGCCATAACATATCAATTATTAATGAAATAATTATCTTTTAAATATTTCTAAAACAAATTCATGTATACAGGGTGATTTAAGCTTCGATGCAAACCAGAGAAGGTATTGGTTCTACCTTGATGTGGGCTTTTTTTTTGTCTGTATACGCTGTAACATTTTTAATACTAGACCAATTCCTTCGAGTAGGAATTCTATAAATCACAAATTTCATCTAGTTGGTATTGTAGTAGACAGTAGAATTTAAGTAAATAGATTAAGCAAAACAAATTATATGTTAAATTTGTGTAATATTATGTGCTGTGTAACAATAACGCCAATTCGGCAACTCATACAAACGACCCACTTTAACTTAATGTAAAATAAGCAAAACAATATTAACTATTTTTACTATAAAAGACTAATGTCAAAATAGCCAAGGTAACTCTCTACTTAGCATAGGTACTCTTACCTAGAAAACTTTCTCATATAATTATGCAAAAACGGATATTTCTTTGAAATAAGTAAAATAAAAAAAAATTAATAATATGATACTTTTTCAATTTCCGAGAAAAAAGTATAATAGTTGTATAGAACGGTTTAAAAATACAATTATTAATGGTTTATAATTGATACTGAAATTTTATATATCAATATCATCCATGGCTGGTCATATAAGACACTCGGCGTACACAGGGGTACCGGGTGGTTACGTTAAAAATTAAATATCATTGACATCAATGATATGTGAACCACACAATTTAATTGAAAATTGACATTTTTTTTTATAATATTTGTATACAATGTGATTTCAATTTCTTCCATTTTTTTTGTATTTACCCCCCCCCCCCTCCTAATTTAGTTTTTTTGATAGTAGCTGTAATATATTGATATCGACTATTTCATAATATTTTATGCACATAGTAATACTTGCATCTGATTATAAGATAAAACATGTAAATAATAAAAAATAACAAATATACTGAGTTGGCCAAACAGAAAGAGAATGACATACACGAGTAACTCCTGTAGCTCCGTAGCTACACACCAATCATTTAGTTGGAGAGGCACGAAAGTAGGGTTAACTATTCTTATGTAAATATCTATAGCTTAACTCAGTGTATTAGTGTAAAGATTTATCAATAGAAACAAAGTATTCGTCTATTATTTATTTAATCATTTATTTATTTTATTATAGTTAAATTATCTTAAAATAGTCCGGTTATAGGTATCCTGGTTCACTATATTTCTTAGGAAGCGAATGCAGCTCAGAAATGTTACGGACCCACCCTTTTCAGGGTTAATTGATACATATATACATTACATTGTACAACTTATCGGGACTAACATATACATATATCTATATATTATATTATATAACTTCTCATTGTTAAATATTGCTAAATATGAATGTACCACACGTGCCGATTTCACATCAGACCCAGAAGGTCATTACAGCATCTTGCGAAAGCAGACAACTTTGTAATTCTGTTCACAGTTGACCTCAACAACGAGGCCAAACACTAAAAGGAACTTAACGTTTTGGCAACTACCGCGCGAATCTCACATCGAAGCTAGCCAATTTCGACCATGCGAAGGCTGCACTCTCATGCCTCTACCTTTCCTCCACCGTTGACATAAGCGGATGTCATGGGCGAGCGAGGTCATCCACGCGCGGACTTTCGATAATTGCGAAGATTTCCACGGCCATTCAACGAGCGGACCAGCATATAAGGGAGAACTTGAGTCATAGCAGAGGAGATGAGTTGGGTCCGCCACACACTACACTTGAAGTTTCTACCTATCATTTTCTTTTGAAGTCTTAAGCGGCTTATAATTGTCTTAGTCATCATATTTATGAAGCATACTGAACTTATGCTATTAACTGTTTGACGTTGTACATGTTTTATAAGTATATCAAATTAAATGTTTGTGATTTACTCTGAAGTTAGTCTATTAAATATCTAAAAACCTATCACCACGATTGTGACAAGACTCAAACAGCCTGCAATACATACGTACAGGGCTACAGGGTTGTTACAGAAATCTAATTTCATTGATTGCCAATTAGTTGGGTGTTTTCGATAAGAATTGGATACTTAAAATAATTAAATAGTCATTATAAAGTGTTTGGTAAAGGAAGGACAATCTGTGTAGTCGTCTTTGAGCGGGGTAGTATACCAGTCTTTATTAGGATAGGTAGCCTTGGAATAGGATAACGAAATAGATCTAACTAGCAAAAGAGTTTTGTGTAGTACCCCGACTAGTTGTTAAGCAGCCTGAGAGGAGATAACCAAAACTAAATTGTATAATATACAACTAAATCACGAAAGTGATTTTATCACTTTCAGATTTAAAAATTCCTGTAAATCTGTAACTTCCCCGTCCCCACTATGCCCCGACCCCACTGTACTGGTTTTTTAAAATTTATTTTACAAAATAAAAACTACATTTTATTACATTTAATAGGGTATTTGCTTACAAGGATGGTATATTAAGCCTTTATAATTTACATTGTAAGGATTGGCAAACCTTAAAAAAAAGTATGTATCATTTTATAGTGACATTTTTATTGAAGCGAAATAGTTTTTCTGATATGATTGTCGTAGGGTTAACTAATAAAATTCAAGCTGTTATTTATAACAACTTTTGTTCCTTATGGTTTAAAATGTTTAAAATTTAAATGCATTGTAGAACCCTGTTGTTATAATAATTGTAACCAATACCGTTTATGTACAGTTACATAAATATATGACATATCTCTATATAATACATGTTTTATAAACATAACTTAGATATAAGTATTTTTTTGTAAAACCAATTATCAAGTATTTTGTATCTTGAATCTGCATACTTTAATAAAAGTTGTAAGCCAATATTGTAGTATTGTTTTTTTTATCAAAACCAAACTGTTATTATCAGCAATCGTTGTAATGTAAACAAATGGTAACTCAGACTTTGTATATTATAAGAAACTTCGTATTTTACAAAAACAATTTGTATGGTTTTTTTTTTTTATAGAAAACGACTTGTTTTGCTAAACATATTTTGTTTTGCAGTTGTTTTTTTATTTAAATGATTCACCTCATTTATTTATTTCGCGGTAGAATCTCGATGTTTCAATAACTATAGCAAATACCCTGTTATGCCTAATTATTATTATTTGACATAATACACTTAATAGGCATTTTAGATAAAATATTTTTTCTTGCAGAAATGCTAACAATAATTTTTCTTTAACTAAATACAATATTTTTCCATAATTTGTATTGTTTTAAATTGCGCGGTTATTTTTTAACATGAAAAAATTATGCTAGCAATATTAACATGTCATTTTTACAACGACTGTTGTGATGTTAAAAAATTCCAATACTTTTTAAGATCGTATACTTATAATTTTTAACGACTTAAAAACCTAATTTACATAATTTCAACACTAAAAAAGTAAAAAAAAACATAACGATAACTCTACAATTGGCTACATTAATATTAAAGTCATTATAACACTTAAGGACAAAAAAACTAAGTAGAGATTATTGTATAGTGAAAACAATATACAGGTATTCTAGTATTTAATATTTAAAAAAGTTAGAGCCTAAAAAAATAAACTTAAAATGCACACAATTTAAGTGCGTAAGAGAAAAGCTTCAACACCATTAGCCCCCATCTCAAGCATCCTCCCTTGTCTCTAACCATTTAAATAATAGTTTAACTTGAAGTAAGTGAAGGACTCTTGGTCCAATATTCCCCATTAATTCTGCTCTAAACGCAAGGCCTTTGTCTCTTATCATTCATTTTATAATTTAACTTGCATATTGAATCTTAGTTAAAATATCTGTTGTACTAAAACCAACGATATGTTTTCATAAAATACCGTATTTTTCTCAATAGTTGTTGCAATGTAAACAAATAACAAATATCTGTTGGCATTATACAGCTTAAGTTTTAGCATAATATGAGAAGCCATATTTACATTAACAACTTTTATAGGTGTATTATTGTTTTTGGTACCAAAATTTGCATAAACAATTCTGCAAAATACATATAATATGTACTGTTTTGGGCGACAAAATATAAGCCATTCGATAAGTCGTAAAAAATCCATTGAAGCAGTCAGTATAGCTATCATTGAAATTATTTAAGTAAGTAATATACAGGACTGCTGTCTTATTTTTAGTGGCTTTATATATTTTCTAAATGTACAATGTATTAAATGTATCCGAAATAGTATTTTAAAATATAATTGCTTTAAAAAATCATTTTTTTTTTTAAATATTTACAATCTGTTGTTAATATGTACGATAAGTTAAAAGGCAATTTTTTTTTTACAAAGCTCTAGTGAAGGGTTGAATAGTGACTACTCTTTTTTTTTTAATTTTTTTTTTTTGAAAATATTTACAGTCTGTTGTTAATATGTACAATAAGTAAAATAGCTATTTTTTTTTTTACAAAGCTGGATAACTTGAGTTAAGGTAGCGCTCAGTGACACTACTTAGTGTGTAAAAAATCACATGAACCAGTGATCCGATAAGTAATCTTAAAACAAATATGAATTTGTCATGAAGTTTACTTAAGATCGGTCAGCGTACTTTATTGATATATTATTCCTACTGCGCATAAAACACGTTTGAACATTTTGTACAATTTCAAATTTTAAAATCAAACTTGGAAATAGTTAAAACTAAAAATTGAAAAAAGTGCTTAAACCGATCACAAGTAAACTTCATGGCAAATTCATATCTGATTTTCAATTGCTTATCGGATCATTGGCTCGGTCTGTGCGATTGACAAAAAATTATGTGTTTTGGCTGAAGAAAACAGCCGGTATCCAGGGGTCTTAAAAGACTATTTAAATAATATTTTTAAAAAATTATTCTAGTAAACTTTTAAACAAAAAACTTTTGTTTTTAATAATTTGTTCTCTAGATGATTATTTAGACATCTTTCATTAGAATTATGCAAAACTCTGGTTATATTTACGCACAGCATAGTATGCACAGTACGTATCAAAGCGTTTATTTGAAAGTGATTTAACCTAGTAAACCAGTACTACCTGTAGGTACTGGTTTACTAGGTTAAATCCTTGGCTTTAGTGGTTCGTCCCGGAGGTATCCCCATACGACTGCGGACCGACTAGTAGCACTGGGTGCTAATTGAGGGCCGGAAAAGGTGTGTCCCAAGAAGAAGTGACCTGGGGTCGAGGCATAATGAATTAAAAAAGTATGGACGGAGAGGTCGAAGGTCTACAGAAATTAATCTTAGTAAAAGTGGTAAAAATACTTTTTAATAAACGCTATAAACGCTTTGATCTATTCACATATTGTGAATAGATATCTACATATTAAAATATTGTTTAATATTATTTTTTGCTGGTCTAATACAGTCGTTTTTACCTCAATACAGTCATACGTGTCTTTCTAATAGTACTCCCGCGTGTAATCTATAAGTTTCAAAGCGACAAACCGTATCCATATCGCCTAGACATAATTGACATATGTAGTTTTTATTGAAAACAACTAATTTTAATTAAACCATACTCTGAAACGCGTAAACGACAACAATTTTTAAAACTGTTAAACATGTATCAATAACAGTTTTCAGTATTTTCTGTAATCGTATTTTGTGGTTACGTAATCTTTGCATCTATGTAAGAAAACCATGATTTTGTACCTTCGTGTTTATTATAACAGAAGTTTAAACTACATGCCAGAGCAATGTAAATAAGTAAATATAATGATAAAGAAATAATATAGCACGGAGTTTAAACATTTACATAGGCAACTCTGCCATAAACGTTTAGATTTTATTGTAAGTATCGCTATACCTCCGTCTAATATAACACATATTAATTTGCATTATTATTTGCAGACAAAAATGAAAATTATCTGTGCATTACTCTTCTGTGCTATTTTAATAATTTTGGCGAATGATGAAAATGATGATGATGGTATGTAATTCGTTTTTACAAGTATCTATTCAAGATACTTGGTTCAAAAAACTAAGCAAAATTAAATATTCATCTTTTTTACAGATAAGCCAAAGGATAGAAAGAAGCTCAACGCTACAAGTCAGTAAATTTTTTGTTTACAAAATACTTTTTTAAGTTTTAAGACTAACAGTTTTTATACATAATTTGTTACAGACGAACTCCTTCAAATGCATATTAATAAATGTAAGACATACTGAAAATGATTAATACTATAAATTTAATGGTTTTGTTGTACTTGTGATTTACCTGAATATAAGGTAATTTATATTTGCGACCTATAATCTCTGTAATTAAATGTTTCCCATTATTGGCTTTTGAGTGTATTGTGTTTTTAAAATATGATTTATACTTAGGAACTTCAGGAATTATCGTTAATGGTGAAGTCGAGGTTTGATAATAAGCTTAAATGATGCAACTTGTTTTAAAAATATTTCTCCAAAGAGTCCCCACACGAATAATATAATTACATTATTATTCATCTAGAATGGATATTATAGAATAATTGTGTAATGAAATTTCAACAGGGTTTATCACTAGTTAAATGGGCCACGTTTAACTCAAGATGTACTTCTGTTCAGAACATTTTTGTACATATATAATATGTACAAAAATTAAAATTTCATTTGATATTTTTTAACTCAATCAATTATTTATTTATTTAAGGTACACTTTGGGACAGATTCAAACATTTTGTTCGTCAAAATCGGCACTCAATGGGTAACTATTATTCTACAACAAAACCGATTATGCTAGTAGACGAAATGTTTTGGAAATGATACAATAATTAATGAAAAAACAATTTATCAATGCAATTATGTGTGTGATTTACTCGTAAATATTAAAATTAAATCACTCAATATTTATCTGTAAATTTAACTCCCTTATTATTATTAAACGTGTATTTTCTTCGTTGACTTAATCCTTTAAGTTTAAAATGGAACATGAAATTAAGTGTAATATCGTTTAAAAATAATTTTTTTATAATCATAATTTCAGAGCAGTTGAATTTTATGTTTGCAATACCTGGTAATAATAGAAAATATTTCCATTTAGTAGTTGGTTATTCACAAGTATAAAATGTTTTCGTTTTAATTTCAGAACAAGATTATGATGGAAACACAATTAAGCGTAATTCCTATTTCATATTAATAATACATTACACACGGCTTTAACATTAGTTTTTAAATTAGGATAAAAATCAAATACATATTAATTTTGTCATAACAATAGACATGTATAAAAATGAATTGTTTTTTTAATTTTAGAGCACATACTTGAGCGTGAACTGCAACAAGGACTACTCATGGAATCAGGTAATCAAAAAATTCAACATATTTTCCCAAACACTTTACAAAACTATTAATTACATTTTAATTGCTCATAAAAAACATTCGATTTTAAATCATAGTCATAAGCTAAATATTTTTCACTTAGTTTTAATGATCGTTTAATATCATTCCGTTCATTTCTTTTACTCAAATGTGGCTACTACATATTATTTCAAGTGTTCTAAACTGAATCGATTATTATTTATGAAAGGGAATTTCTCTAAAAAGTTAAGCTTTCGGGTAACTAAAAATAACTGTGTTTCACATACAATTTTCTTAAAAATATTTTTCATAATAATTTTTAATTTTTATGCGCTATACTTATTTTAATTTGTGAACAAATGTTTTTAAAATGTGTTGTCTAACCAACAGTATGAGTTTAAATTGAGTGAATTTAAATATCATACGAATTCGACTTTTTTCATTCGGAAACGATCCGTCTATAGCCACAGAACATATTTATTAAAAAAATATCTAGTTATTTTCTCCGCTCCACGGAAAAACATTGAATCGTGGAAATGCTTTAGCATTACGGGTCCGTATAACCATATGATTGTTTTATTATTAGGTATAATTAATATAAACATTGAACATTTCAGTAAGATGCTTTACGGTAGCATTACGGTTCCGCAAAACTACCACAGTTTCTAAAAATTTTCGTTTAGGTTCCTAATACTTTTTTCTTGTAAATTGATATTTTAGTGCAGTGTGTCTGTGCAAGTTTAGCTTTGTTATATTGTATTTTTCTAAAAATGTTTAACGTAATACTATGACATTTAATTTTGAAAAGGTTTTGGCACTATGAGATTCATACATTTATCGTCCGCTCCTGGCGCTGAACAATTTTTAGCAAACTTAACGTATGGGTCTCTGGTACTGTGACCGGCAGCGACGGAGTGTGTTTTATAGTACCCTGGTACCCATTATTATTATTCAATCACTAAATCTTTATCTTTATGTTGATGACGCGAAATCGTAGCATCGTAAAATCGTTACTAGTAATATTCAACAAAATGTTGACTTAGTCTATGTAATCTCAGTTTTAAAGTTACCGTTATACGTAGATCTAATAAAATACTTATTTTCAATAATCGTACAACTACTTATTGCATATTTTGATGTTTTAGTTACAGGCAATATTGAATTCGAGTTTGTTGATGATATTGGTAATTACGCTTTATTCCGTTATGTATTTATACTTTATTCATAGGTTTGAATAAGAAATTACATTTTTTTTCACATTGTTTTTATACAAAGTGATCTCAATTTTTAAAATTTTGTTTTTTTTTTTCCTCCCTTGCAAACTAGTTTTTTGAGGAAGTGCGGTTGGGAAATGAGCGCAGATAAAAATAATAATGCACTCCACCTTTCCTCCTGCCTTAAATTTGAAACTTCAATAACTTCATAATTTTATATTGGAGGCCATTGAAAAACGCACACAGGTGGATGTTATTTTTACGGATTTCTCCAAACCGTTTGATCGAGTAGACCATAAAATACTAATTGAAGTTCTATATAAAGCTGGATTTGGTGAGCCCATTCTATCTTGGTTCAAATCTTATTTATCTGGTATGGTCCAATGTGTTAAAGTCTTAGGATGTAAATCTAAAGCAGTCTATGTACCTTCGGGTGTTCCTCAAGGGGAGCACTTATCCCCGTTGTGGTTTTCTCTATTGGTTAATGGTCTAAAATTGGTTATCCCAGATTCTATGTTCCTTATGTTTGCTGACGATTTGAAAATTTACAGGATAATTGAGTCAGTAACTGATTGTGTTACCCTCCAGAACGAGCTTGATGTTCTTGTTTTGTGGTTCAATTCTATGGGACTAAGCTTTAATGTAGAAAAATGCCAATCCATGATTTTTGCTAGGAATAGAAATATTATTAGCTATACATACTTGATAAATGGGTCAAGCATTAATATTGTTACTAGGTAGAAATACTTGGGTATTCTTTTTTGTCCAAATCTCGATTTTCATTACCATATAGAGGCAGTTTGTTGTCGTGCGTTAAAGATGCTTGGCTTTGTCATACGCACGTCAAAAAAATGTAAGCTCTCTAGTTCTCTAAAAGCTTAATATTGCTCTGTCGTACGGCTTCTTTAAGAATATTCTTCTATTCTCTGAGACCCTTTTACGGCAGCTGACTCTTCTTGCATTGAGAGGGTCCAGAGGCGTTTCTGTTCTTCGGCGTCATTTATTTTGCAAATTCCACATCCATCGCAAGATTATAGGCCAGTGTTGAATAAACTTGGACTCTTGTTTCTAGCGGATAAAAGAGTTGAAGCTAATTTGGTGTTTTTGCACAAGCTAATTGACGGACGTGTGGATGCTCCCTCTCTCCTTTCTCTAATTAATTTTAAAGTTGCTTCTCACTTAACTAGGTCTAATTTTTCATTTGTTGTTCCATTCCACACCACCAACTAGGGTAGAAATAATCCCATTCACCGTATGATGCACATTTGTAACGAGCAACTAGGCTTATCTTAAAATATTTTATTAATAGTACTGCAATCTGTTATTACTACTTTTTACCTATGTTTACTTTTGTTTTTTATTTTTCATATAAGTGCCATTTGTTTATTTGATCCGTTGCATTGTTTGGTATTTGCTTACTTTAATAATTATGTTATATTGTTCATATTTAAGACTATAAATTGTATTCTACTATTAGGCTCCTAGCCCGTTCATAAATAAATAAATAAATAAATAAACTTCAAAAATAATTATCTGAAACTGGATATCGACCAGTCAACATTTTTAATACATTTTTCTCAATTTAAAAAGTTAATAAAATGTATACGTTACCCTTTAAGTTTCAAAGAATAAAAGTCGGAAGGGGGAATAAAACAAAAATTTGTGAAAAATTGAGATCACATTATATAAAAATAATATGAAAAAAAAAATTAATTTCTTATTAAACCCTATGAGATATTGAGTTGTTCACGATAAATTGATCACCCTGTATAGTTCATTAAAAAATAAATAAACGCCTACGAAAGTAAATTATATAGAAATAATAATTATTCTACGAATGTTATTTTCTCTTCAGCTTTAGAGGCCGGTCAGGCCCATTGCTGCAACACACACTTCCTTCCATTTCTTTCTATCCATTGATCTGATCCTACTGATCCTTTGAGACTTTATCAAACCATCGTTGTGTAAGTCTACCTAAGGGCCTCTTTCCTCGTGGTCCCCAACTTAGGACCTTCTTCACAATCATGTTAGACCTTAGTTAGGTATGTGACTTAGCCAGCTTAGTCTTTTGGCTCTAATTACTTCAATTATATTTGGTTCTCCAAAGCCATTGTATACTTCTTCGTTTGCCCTCATTTCATACCTTTTTGTTACATTAATTATTTTTGGTCCACATATATTCCTTAGAAACTTTCTTTCTACTATAGCCAATATTCTCTCATCCTCTAACGTTGTTGGCCTTGCCTCACATGCATACGTTATGATAGGTATTGCTATTATTTGTATAGTCTAATTTTCGATTTCTTTGATAGTAGCTTTGAGCGCAGGCACTTAGATAGTGCATGTAGACATCTTATATAAAGAATGTTTTAAAAAGACACCATGTAAACGTATAATTCCAATAAAAACATATATGAACGATTTGTGTGTTTTTCGAATAATGTAGTATGCAAATTTTAAATTTCACTGTGCTTACTTAGGGTTACATAATTGTCATTATAAAAGCACTTTACAAAAGTATTTATACTTTTTTAACACATTTATTGAATTTTTCAGGTAGTGATAGAAAAAAAGTAAAAAAACTTGGAGCTGACAGAAGAAAACTGTTAAGACGTAATTTAAAATCGTTAATAACCGATATAATACAGAGTAAATAATAAACTACTAAAAATGTATTGGTTATACGGAGAAAATTCATATTTGGACCAACAAACATTACAGTTAACACGATACATTTATAGTTGAAATAACTACATAAATAAATCGTTCAACTAATACAAACTTAGTCCAACAAATTATTTAATACTTATTTCACCGTTAGAGTTTTTTATTAGGTTATATCCGTACCTCAGAGTAAAAGTGTATTAAACAAAAAATTTCAATTTTTATTAATTAGAGGTTTAGAGGTGGGCGTTCAAGAAAAAATGAAAGCCACGAGTGTGAGTGAAAGTATTAGAGGAAATGTATGATGGAGCAAGTACAAGAGTGAAGAGTTTGTGTGGAGAAATAGAAGATTTTAGTGTAAGAGTAGGTGTGCATCAAAGTATAGCGTTGAGTCCTTACTTGTTCTCTTTAGTAATGGACGAGATTACGAAAGATGTACAGCGTTAGTGGGGAAAAGTCCGGTAGAATTGGCTGAGAAACTTGAAGGTAAAAGACTGAGGATTAGAAGTTGTAAAACGGCGACAATCGTGTTTATTTTTGGAGAATGTTATAGGGTAAAACAGGTATTGCAGTTGGGTGATATTGAAGTGTGTAAGGTTGATAGGTTTATGAAGAAGAAATTAGTAATTATTAATTTATTAATAAATAATTTTATTATGTGTTTTCTTGTAAAATTTATATTTTGTGACTCAATACACTTTTTCTCTTGGGTGAAGATAAAAGATTAATCTTAATTTTAGTTTGTCCAACTATGTATTTTTTGTCAGTGCAGCAAGCTGAATTTGGATAACTTTTAAAAACTCTTTTTTAGACCCAGAGAGCCACGATGTTACATTTGAGCATACATGTAAACTGATAGGATTGTACTTAAGTATCAGGTATGCAGACAACTACTCAACTTCTGCTGTTGTTACACCTCCGCCTGACAATACTTGTGTCATAAGCCATGGAAGTACAGCCATGGTATCTTGCAAATATGTCATTAGGCGTAAAAGACTTTTACGTCTTGTAGATAACGATAACCATTTAATAATTATGAATGACATACTTCTATCTCTATTACGTTAAATGTACTTGCAGTTAAAATTTTTAGTATATTTGCACACTAGTATAAAAAATTGTCTAGTAATTTAATGTACCGCACAATAAAATATCTTTGCTCGCTACTATAAATTATTTTATTACTTTCAGTCATAATTTGTATTGGCTATATACAGGTGTAATATAAAGGCAACTTAGGTCCTTTGTCAGGACCACTACTCCTCTCCATCTATCACATCCGTTGACGTGACTTCACCATTATTTATTATTAGTAAGTTTAAGTCCTTACATTTTTTTTAACACAGAAGATGGACTCAGTTTATATAGTTAACTTTGGTCAAAGAAATATTCGTTTGAAAATATTTTAGTTATGGCTCTCCCATACAAATATTTAGACCGCTGCCAATCATTAACGGAGCCAAACGAGTTCGTTCAAGAATCAAGTGGTCACATTTTCATTACGACGTTTAGCCATAATATATCAATTATTAACGAAATAATTATCTTTTAAATATTTCTAAAACAAATTCATATATACAGGGTAATTTAAGCTTTGATGCAAACCAGCGAAGGTATTGGTTCTACCTTAATGCGGCCTTTTTTTTTTTTGTCTGTATACACTGTAACTTTTTTAATACTGGACCAATTCCTTCGAATAGCAACTCTATAAATCACAAATTTCATCTAGTTAGTACTGTAATATAAAGTACAATTTAAGTAAATAGATTAAGCAAAACAAATTGTATGTTTAAATTGTGTAATATTATGTACTGTGTAACAATAATGCCAATTCGGGAACTCATGCAAACGACCCACTTGAACTTAATGTAAAATAAGCAAAACAATATTAACTATTTTTACTATAAAAGACTAATGTCAAAATAGCCAAGGTAACTCTCCACTTAGCATAGGTACTCTTACCTAGGTGGAGACCATTTTGTACTCACCTCACAGTACTGATCGTTTTGTGTGTTTTATGTGCTATTCTACTTGTTTATAAACTCATCTTGTGTTGTTATTTGAAACTTTCATAACTTAAAAAATAGTTATCCGAAACTGGTTATAGACCAGTCAAATTGTTAGTACATTATTCTCAATTTAAAAAGTTAATAAAATATATACGTTACCATTAGAGTTTCAAAAGTTGCTATACAAAAAAAACGAGTTAGGAGGGGGGTATATACAAAAAAAATTGTTAATAATTGAGTTCAAATTTGATAAAAAAGAAAACTTTAATTTCTTATTAAACCCTATACGATATTGAGTGGCTCATGATAAAAAAATCACCCTGTATAGAGTTAAAGGTACCGAGTGGTTATTGATCTTCAAGCAATATCATTTTGCGCCCTTTATTAAATTTTATTAATTTAATATTTCTAAAAAAAATATTAGTTAGGTTCGTATTTTATAATATGTATTAAATACAAATTTAAAAATTCATCTATAGTAATTGTCTAAAGTGCTATTATTTAATAGCGACAGCTTTTTACTACTCACTTTTAAGTTAAAGTTTAACTCTAAATTAAGCGTACTAGGACAACCTTTTTAGTAATTAAAATTGCAAATGGTCTTTAATCCCTAAGTTCGCTGCATTTTACGCTTTTTACCCAAAACATTTTTTGGGGTCTCGGCTCGAGTGGCCCATCGTGTTAAAATCCCTAATTAACTGGTAACAGGTAAGTATAAATAAGATATCAACGAGCTTGTAATCGTGACGGCACGGACCCATCTTATCTCGTCGTAATCACATATGCGATAACGACATCCATATTGCCTCTTATAACAATAATAACATTAAACCAACCGTTCCTCCGCTTGTTATACCAAAATCTCGCATACAGAGCGTGTCAAATAATTCGCCTACCTCATCTAAATCATCAGGAAAAAATGTCGACTGAATAACTCCAAACGTTTAAGTTTACTTAACCAAACAGCACATTAAAACCAACAGTCAAAAAAATGTAATTCACATAACCGCTTCTCGCCACTTCAATCACACAGTACTGACAATACAAATACCAATGTAATTGATATGGACCTCACTACAAACGACGTTCCTATTACCATTCGTCCAAATAATCCGCCACCTCTTATCTATATTCGAGTGTAAACGACTTCAACACTTTCTTCTCTAAAATTAATGAAGCTACCAATGGTGAAAAGTTCCTTTGCAAAAGTTCCACAAATGGAGTAAGACTATCCACCAGTTCTGAAAAATCTTATAGGAATATCATAAAATTCCTTCAGTCCGTTAAAGCTGATTTTTTTATACGTTTCAACTGAAACAAAAAAGAGCCTTCAGAGTGGTTGTTAGGAACCTCCATCCGACGACTGCAGTCGAAGAAAAATAAAACGAACTACTCCTCAATAGTCATGTCGTCAGAAACGTATCTAACGTATTTTTTGCACATTCCTTATGTCTTGATGTATATGATAACATTTATTTTAATTATAATTTAAGCAATTACAAAACAAGTTAATACAATTTTTCTTTCAAAACGTAGTACTAATGTTGTTTTTTTAAAGAAGAGAGGGATATTACAAACTTTTTCATATGATTATGTAAAAACGGATATTTCTTTGAAATAAATGAAATAAAAAAAAATTAATAATATGATACTTTTTAAATTTCCGAGAAAAAAGTATAATAGTTGTTTAGAATAGTTTAAAAATACAATTATTAATGGTTTTTAATTGATACTGAAATTTTATATATCAACATCATCCATGGCTGGTCATATAAAACACTCGGCGTACACAGGGGTACCGGGTGGTTACGGATCTTGAAGCAATATCATTATGTGCCCTTAATTACTTTTTATTAATTAAATATTTCTAAAAAAAAAAGAAACGGAGGTTAAACGAAAAAGAGAGACATACAGTGAATGTTTTTCTGAATCAAATATATTTTATAATTATTACTTATTACAAGAAGTTTTTGTAAAATCAGTTATCGTGTAATTGTAATACCATATTGTAGTATTGTTATTTTTATCAAAACTAAGCTGTTATTCTCAGTGACTGCTGTAATGTAAATAAAAGGTTATTAATATAGGTATCTTAAACTTTCAATACAGAGCGATTCACGATAATATACAATATTTTTCAACTGTTTCAATAATTTTATTTTAGCTTCGATGCAAAGCGAGAAGTTATTGGTTTTACTCTGATGTGGGCTTTTTTTTTCGCTGTATACACTGTAACTTTTATAATACTAGACAAATTCCTTAGAATAGCAACTCTATAAATCACAAATTTTATCTAGTTTGTACTTTGGGGGGGGGGGGGGGTAAAAGTTGAAAAAGTTTAATTCTTTACAGACGAAATTTGAAAAAACAAAAAAAAAAACCGTACGAGTTTTTAAGTTAGAACTTTTACTGGCTATAATTTCGAGAAAAAGAATCGGATCGAGTTGAAATGTATAAGAAATAATTATTTGGTATGCCCGCACACGTCAGTTGTGTCAAATTTAAACTATACCCATTTCCCACCCCCCTAGGGGGGGTACAAGTTTTTTTGTTTTTCGGGGTTTTTAGCGGTAATTTTAATACTTTTGGGTTGAAAATTTGCCAGTAGTTGGAATTCATATGTACCCATAACATATTTAACGGGAAAAAAAATTCGGCACTACAGTTTTTTTTTTTTGCCGGGAAACTGTGTTTTCGCAGATTTCGTATATTTTAACAAAAACACCTAAAATCTTTAAAAAAAATTGATCAAATCATTAAAAAAATTGTATGTTTATCTATGCAGAATGGTACTATTAAGTTTTGTGCTCAAGTACCACTTTTGACTTTAAGATTACACAAATTCAATTTTTTTTTTTTTAACTAAAAACCCGGTGTACCAGATGTGAGAAACGAACAGACACTAAAAACTATCAGTTGGTAACGTCTATCCGTGTTAGATTAGGTTAGGGCCCAATGATCGGTATCATAATATTGTGTTTATTACATGATATCATAGGCGACTAAATCGTGTAACTGATTATAGTAGACACTCGATTTATTGGGAAAAAAACCTATCCGTGTACTTATTAAAACATTTAATGATTCTGATACGACAAAACCACTGTCGTTATCGCGTTATTTTATAGCCTGCGTTATATAACCTTACCGAAGGTCAACTATGAGTATATAAGGCCCAACTACCTGCAAGTAATGAAGAGGACTGTTGTTTTTTGGATTCAGATTAAGTGTTGGTTTTTATGCAGTATACCGCCTCAAAATGTATTTTTTATTACACAATTTTTTTAAAGGAAAACTAATGTTTTGCATATTGTTATACTGTTATTCATTTAAAGAGATTCACGCTTGATTGTTTAAATAGTCTAATATTAGATAATCTGCTTCGTGCTAATTTTAATTTTTTAGTTTATTAACTTGTAGCTCTAATTTTGTGTAAAATATTTCATTATTTTATTACTATGTACTATTACTATTAAGATAAATTTTAATAATAATTAAGTCATAAATGATAATACTTTATTTTATGACTAGATCAAATCTCGTGAACGTTTAACATCATGATACTGCTCTTATGCTATTATTAAAAAAACACAATTTTTAAAATCTCCATAAAAGGTTATTGTTAAATAACAGGCAACAGCCGACCGCTAGTGGCTATACACGTTAGTAATATTTAACTAATAAGTAATATATGTAGGTAAAATTTATTGTTTTCTCCATCACAGTACCAGTATACGATTTATTTTAATTTAAATGTAAGAAAATCCATTTTTCTTTAGAAAATAACAAGAAATTATTATACAGGATGAGGCAGTAAAACGGCGATTTTCTAATGTATTTAAATGGTAAAACCCGTTTCACTATCCCACCCTTTACATTTTAAGGATCTATGAAAAGGTTTTTTTAGTTGCATTTTATTTTGTACATTGTCAATCTAGTAAAATAGAAGTATAATATAGCTTTGAAATAATATAATCCATGAAGTATAAATAGTTTGTGTGAGATTGCTTTAATGGAAGTATATAATACATAAATATTAATTTTATTGAGAATAAGCGATTATAATTTAAACTATGGAGTACAAACGATTGGAACATGAATCGTCGACCATTCCAACAAAATATAACATGTATATGTGTTATTTGGTCCACTAAGTTTTTGCAAAAAAAAAAAAAAACCAGTACAGTGGGGTCGGTGCATAGTGGGGACGAAACATAGTTGGGTCGGGGCATATTGGGGACGGGGAGGTCACAGGTTTACAGGAATTTTTAAATCTGAAAGTGATAAAACCACTTTCGAAAAAACGCTTCGATGCAAATCGGTAGTTAGTATTTTCAAGCCAGTACAGTCCAAACCAAGCACAGTATAAACCAGCAAAGTTAGAAAGTCTTAAATTAAGGTTCTGTATTTACAAATGAGCATCAAAGCGTTTATTTGAAAGCTATTTTATTCAATTTTATCACTTTTATTTATAATAATTCTTGTAGACCTGTGACCTCTCCGTTTTCTCATTGCTTTGATTACATTATGCCAATACTCTACTGTACTAGTCCTCTTGGATAAAATCACTTTCAAATAAACGCTTTGATGCTCATTTGTAAATACAGAACCTTCATTTAAGACTTTCTAACTTTGCTGGTTTATACTGTGCTTGGTTTGGACTGTACTGGCTTGAAAATACTAACTACCGATTTGCATCGAAGCGTTTTTTCGAAAGTGGTTTTATCACTTTCAGATTTAAAAATTCTTGTAAACCTGTGACCTCCCCGTCCCCAAAATGCCCCGACCCAACTATGTTTCTTCCCCACTATGCACCGACCCCACTGTACTGGTTTTTTTTATCTTATCGGAAACAAGTTCTTTTTCACAATAATTGTTGCGATATAAATTAATGAAAAACAACTGAAGGTATCATACATTAATAAGTTTTAGCATTATACATTATAAAAACTACTTTTACAGAAATATTATAGTTTTTTTTCGTAAACAAGTAAACACATTATTTGTGTACTTAAATGTCTGAAATATTTATTTTCTTAAATTGTAGAACCATGTACTACGATAAAATACTCAAAATGTCAAAACAAACATGAAAATACAAAACTTAAAAATCACAGCTCCCAATTATAAAAATAAATATAATTTAAGTTTTGTACAATATTAGATATCTAATCCTCTAGTTAATACGTTTTTTCATTATTGTGTTTATAACATAATTTAAGTTTGAAAGAACACTTGTGTTCTAAAAAAACCATAATAGCTCAATACATTTTGTTAATTTAAATATGGCTGCTAATATTATGCTAAAACTCAAGCTGTATAATGCCAACAGATATTTGTTATTTGTTTACATTGCAACAACTATTGAGAAAAATACGGTATTTTATGAAAACATATCGTTGGTTTTTGTTCAACACTGATATTTTAAGTAAAATTCAATATGCAAGTTAAATTATAATATACGATAAGCGACAAGGGCATTTGCGTTCAGGGTAGATACAAGGGGGGATGATGTACCATAAGCTCCTCACTTGATTAGAGACAAGGGAGGATGCTTGGGAAAGGGGCTATTGGTGTTAATGCTTTTTCCTTACGTACTTAAATAGTGTGCATTAAAAGTGTATTTTTACAGGCTTTAATTTTAAAAAAAAATAAAATATTTGAATATGTATTGTTTTTACTATAATATAAACTTTAACTTTTAAGGCTATTGATTTGTATAATTAAATTGTATTTGAAGAGATTTTCTATTTCTAGCCCCATTTTTAAACTCTACATTAGCCCTGGTTTACATCAGAGATAAATTATTTTACCAAAAGTTTGCACACAACTTTTGGAGTAATAGTTATGATTTTTTTTTTTTTGTTACTTTTTTACAGTAAAAATTCATAAACATTCGTCAATAACATAAAAGTGTTTTATAATTTTTTTTAAAATTATAAATAAATATTTCTATCACATAACATTATAAATGCACGCAGGCCCACTCTTATATATCTAATCGTCAATATTTCATCCACTTAACTTGTGTTTTTAATTTTTTTTTCAAATCTTTTGTGTTAACAAGAATGTGTAAACAAAGATATGAAAAAAAGAGAGTTTAAACGTTCAACCAGGTTATCGTTTTATTGCAAATATAACAAATTTTTGACAATTTACAAAATATCAATAATTTTGTTTAGCTATAATTTGCAACAAAAAATTCAGATTTGTCTGAAATAGTTAAAAAAATATACATGTTTAATTTAGGGGTCTCGGTTTCGTACGTGAAATAATACATACGTGATCACGGTTCTGTGATCACGTGAATAAAAGTAATATAAAATCCGTATGTTTAATTCACGTGAATACGTTGTACAAAGTTCCCGTGATCACGTATATTAATATTATTCACGTGAATATTCACGTGATATACGTGATATTCACGTAATATCACGTGAATCACGTGAATAAAACTATAAATTCACGGACAATTTCCAATCACGGGTCTTATAAACTCATGATTAATTTCACGTGAATCCGTGAAATAGGGAGCCCTAGTTTAATTTGATAAAATACGGATAATTAATTCAATTTCCGGATCTGAGTGTATACAATGTAATTAACCACATTAAAATTACATTGGCTTTCTTAATTTAGGTTTAAAAAAAACTATAACCCCTATAAAAACTTGATTCTATATTTTTCTCTTGGGTTAAAAAACATTCGAATCTGATAGTTGTAATATTGCGTGTTCATTGTCGGCGATCGTTTGTACGAATTTATTTGTAAGTTAATTGTGTACATAGAGCTCCGCTTACTATTACTCATACTAGTATAATATTGAATAAATGTAATTTTATACTCTACTTCGTATTATGCTTCAGAGTAATGTAAATATAAATAAGTTATTCGTAACCAAAAATGACATATGTTGCTTGTGTTAACAAATTCGCATAAACAATTCTGCAAAATACATCTAGATTTTATTGTTTCGGTCGACAAAATATAAGCCATTCGATCAGTCGTAAAAAAAACATTGAAGAAGCTTGTATAACTATCATTGCAATTATTTAGTAAGTAATATACAAAATTGTTTTCTTATATTTACTGGGCTTATATTTTTTCTAAATATAAAATTGTAAATACTAAATGTATATGAAATACAATTTTTAAATATAATTATTTTAAAAAATTATTATAACTTTTTTTTTATTGGAAATATTTACAATCTGTATTAATATGAACAATATGTAAAATGGCTAATTTTTTTTTACAAAACTGGACGAATTGAGTGGACACTACTTTAGGTGTAAATAAATACTTACGTACAATTTAAATACTATATTTAAAAATTATTCAAATACATTTTTAAACTAAGAACTTGTTTATGAATAATTTGTCATCTAGATGATTATTTAGATATATTTTATTATAATGATGCAAAACTCTGGTTATAACTACGCATTAGGGTGGACCAAAAAAAAATTACTCCGTCCCTACTGTTTTTATGCCAAAAAATAGGGAAATATTATTTTACCTCCAAGGAACATAATGTCAAGAGAAGAAGTAAAAAAAATTGTTTTTGGTCCACTCAACTACGCATATCATAGTACGTATCAAAGCGTTTATTTGAAAATGATTTTATCCTAGTAATCCAGTAAAGTTGATTCAAGGCATAATGGAATAAAAACAGCAGGGACGGAGTATTTAGAATAGATGTAAATAGTTTTTTAGTATTGTAGTGTAGGACTTTCAGCACTTGTTTAGTTGTATACCATATTATACTTACATGATATATATATTAGCTCCTCCTCTAGCCGTAGTCACTCTTTGATGTTTACATATTGAACACAAAAAAAACATGTATTTTTTAAACAAGTGTTTTGCACTAACTGAATAATATCACCAGAAATTGTTGGGTACTCATATTGTAATTATCATTGTTTAAGTAAATCCAAAACTTGTTATCAACCAGTCAAAACGTTTAGTACATTATTCTCAATTTAAAAAGTTAATGAAATGCTTGTGTTAAAGTTTATTTTTTTAAATTTACAAACAAAAAAACTAAGTTTAAAAGCAGTTGAAGATATAAAATGTTGTGGAAAATCGAGATCACATTTTTGAAGACACTATGAAAAAAAATTCATTTTTTTAATTGAGCTAAGTGAGATATTAAGTGGCCTATGATAAAATAATCACACTGTACATGTATGAAAACCATTGAAGCAGTTAGTATTTCTATCATTGCAATTGTTTAAGTAATACTAACAAACTTCAAAAATGGTAACATTTTATGCTATGGTACAATATTACAATAGTATACATGCCCTCTTTTCATTATTATGTAGTGAACCGGCAACACTGCTTGTGCCACCACCCCCGGTTGGACGAGAGAGAACGCTGATGTAACGCACCTCGTCTTTGTCAGTAATCCTATGTTTCGTTGACCATTGTGCCTACCGGACGTTTATTTGCTCGCCGATGTACGTCGCGCCATCTTGGACCTTACTCGATGGTCCTATGTTGTTATTTTAGTAAATAGTCGTTCGTATAGTTTTAATCGTCATGCGATTTGCCTGCACTCTTGTGCATATATTTCGCGTGCACCCCTGTGCATATTTCACCTGCACCCTCGTGCATATAATTTAATCGCCCTGCGACTCACCTACACCTTAGCGTGTTCTAGTTCGCGTGTGTGTACTCGTCAGCTACATATCTGTCAACCTAGTGGCCATCATTGGGTTGAACATAGGTTACAAGACAAATCTTCAAATAGTCGATAAGTATCTTATTGTTACTATAAATTTAGGGGTTTTTAGGTTATTACGCCGTGTGGCATTAATTTATAAGAATTCTCCCCATTGATTAATAATTTTCTGTTCGTTTTGTGATTTATGTTTGAGTACATATTTCACTTATTTTAATTCCGCATTCGTTTTCAATATTATTGTAAGTGCCATCCTACCATCTATGCAGTCCACTTTTTCCGCTTTATCTTGAGAATTCTTTGGTGTATTACCTATTGAACCACGCAAATAATCGGATCCAACCTGTGTAAAAAACACCCGGGCGATCGATTATACAGTAATATTCAGTTATTGTTTGTTTGGTTGTCCAGGGTATAGTTTTATGTCATTCTATTTGAGTAATATTTTCAAGGTTTATTCTATAAAGTATGGCTTGGTAAATTCTTGATTTGTTGTGGTTTAATAATAGTTATTTGTTCTTAATAATTTGAATGTGTAAAGAAGAGACGTATCCCACTATTGTGTTAGCTTTCTATTTGTTTAAGATAGTTCGATTCACACTTATATAATATTATCACTCCATAGTCTATCTTGGAGCGAATAATGGCTCTGTACATTATTTTTGAAATTAAAGTATCTGCACCCAAAGTGGTATGTGATATCATTTTGATTAAATTTAAGTTTCGATTTAAATACATTTTTAGCTGATTTATGTTGTAGCCATGAATTTTTTTGGTTGTAAGTTGGACCTAATATTTTTATTACTGTGACTTGTTCGGTTTCCTTGTTGGCCATTTTTAATGATAGCTTCTTACAGCTTTACGATTTTTAGTAAAGTTTATGCATTTTGATTTTTTGGAGGAGAATTGAAATCCTGAGTTAAGTGTCCAATTAGAAAGTTGGTCTAATGTATCCTGTAAGAAGTGTCTCACTGTTTTAATTCTTTTGCTTTTACAAGAAATATATAAGTCGTCGGTAAAAAAGTTTTTCAGCCGAGTCTGCAACCACGAAAGAGCATTTTCATGTCTCGTTGAAATACCGAATAAATTTTAATTAGTTGTGGAATTATAATTTAAAAAAAAAATTATGGAGCTTCCAGTTACAGCATAAGGCCAAAGAGATAAAAAAATTATGTATAATCAAGTTTCTGGCTAAAATTGTAGTGTTTATTATCTGGCCAAAAGTAACTTAACATAGAGAATTAAACTATTTTGAATTTATTATTTAGTTTGAATTTTAACGTTGAACGTACAACATATCTCTTATCTACTATATCTTACCCCTCTCCCCTACCCACTATCTCCCGTCCCTATCACTCACCCCTATCTCTCACCCTTATCTCCCACCCTATCTCCACCCCTATCTCCTGTCCCCAACCCCAACCCCATTCCCACCTCCCCCCTTATTTCCTGTCCCCAACCCCAACCCTATCCCACCCCCACCCCTTATCTCCTACCCCTATTTTCACCTCCAACCGATCTCCGTGTGATAACGCTTCTTTGGTAACGCTTTTTTCGTTACGCTTTTTTTCGGTTATTTCCCATAGCTAATTCCACCCTTTCCCATTCCCACCTCATCTTCAACCCCATTTATTTTTTGGTAACGCTTTTTTCGTTACGCTTTTTAGGTAATGTTTTTTTCGTTACGCTTTTTTGGCTATGTGCCAGAGCTAAGACATTAAAATGCCAATAACGTTGCCTGTATTGGTGCCGAGATAGTATTAGATACATTGTTTCACAAACTAAAAAAAGAGTTACAGGTAGTGTCGATCCTTGAGGGACTCCATTCTCCAAAATATATTTATCCGAACAGCAATTTTCCCCCTTTTGACCTGAAATGTTCTAATTTGAAGCAAACTTTCGACAAATTTAAACATTTTTTCTTTGTTTATTACTTTGGATAGTTCTCTTTTGATTTAGTGTCTCCATGATTTGTTATAAGCTTTAGCTATGTTTAAGCTACCCAATTAGTCCAAATTTTTGCTTAACCTGTTGAGCAAAATTTCTATCATCTTGTAAGAGAATTTTAAGTTGACTTATATTTCCTAAATCCACTTTGAATAGAACTGAAATATTTTAAGTGCTTAAGGTACCAGACCAATCTAAACTTTATACATTTTTCTAATATTTTACACATGGTCTTAAGTAATTTAATAGGTCCATAACATTTAAAATGCAATTTATTTTCCCCAGGTTTTTGTATCGTTACTACATTTCCGTTTTTCTAGCTGTCTGGTATTTTACCGGTATCCCATATTTTGTTAAAATTCCCCTGCAATATTGTAAAGAGAGGGTATTTTCTATATAATATTTTCGATGTCATTGCAAGAAAATGTTTTTTGGTTGGAAATATAGGTGTTACATATTATCAGTGGTTATTTTCATTTTATGTTTGATACTACTACTTCTAAATCTAATTTAATTTGAGTTCGCTCGCTAGGGAATGAGGAGTCATCGTATTTTCTGCATTCTGTTAATGCGTATTTGACCGTGAGAGAGGTGCCGCGGGATTGACACACTGGCTTGTCTTCTTTTTTTTAAATGTACACATGGGTAAGTTTTTGTGTCCAATTCTGAGTCTGTTTCATATGACTTCGATTTTTCTGCTTTTTGGCCATCTTTTGATATTGTTGTTTATTTCAATTAGATTTGTGTTTAATTGTTGCCACATGTTCTGCCATTCTATTTCTATTTTTTCTTGTATTATTCTATTAATGTTGTTGTAATGTAGTTGTTCGATCCAGTTATACATTAATATATTGATAAAGAAATAATCCCAAACGGAGTTAAACAATTTACATAGGCAACCCTACAATAAATGTTTAGATTTTATTGTAAGTATATCTCCGTCTATTATGACATGTTTTAATTTGCATTATTATTTGCAGACAAAAATGAAAGTGAACTATGTGTTACTTTTCTATACTATTTTAAATGTTTTGGCAAATAATGGTATGTAATTTGTTTTTACAAGTACCTACTCAAGGTATTTGTTGTAACTTTAAAAAAAAAACTAAACAAAATTAAATATTCAACTTTCTTACAGATGGACCTTTCTATCGAATGGAGCTTGAAACTACAAGTCAGTACATATTTCGTTTACAAAATATTTTTTTTAATTTCAAGACTTACATTTTTTATACATAATTTATTACAGACGTACTCATTGGCATACATATTAAAGCCAGTAAGACATACTTAAAATTATTAATACTATAAATTTAATGGCTTTGTTGTACTTGCCATTTGCCTGACTATAAGGTAATTTATATTTATGAACTATAATCTCTATAAAAAATGGTTCTAATTAGAGGCCTTTGTGTGTATTGTATTTTTTAAAAATGTTTTTTACCGAAGGACTCCAAGAATTATCAATAGTGGTGAAGCCGAGGTTTGATGAGGATAATAAGCTCAAATAACGCAACTTGTGTTAATAATATTTCTCAAAAGAGTCTCCTACACGAACAATATGATTATATATTAATTTAGTTTGTACAATATCATTGATAATCTAGAATAGATATTATAGAATAATTGTTTGATAAAATTCTGAGACGGTTTATCACTAATTAAATGGGCCACGTTTAACTCAAAATGTACTTCTATTCAGAACATTTTGTGTTAAAACAAAATGTTGCGATTATGTCGCATTAAAACTTCATTTGATTGTTTTAACTCAATCAATTATTTGTTTATTTCAGAGACCATGTGGAACATGATAAATTTTGTTGTTGGACAAGATAACATCTCAATGAGTAACTATTATTATACAACAAAACCAATTATGTATGCTAGTAGGAGAAATATTTTGGAAATGATACAATAATCGCAAAAACCATTTATCAATGTATTTTTATGAGAGATATGAATATTAAATTTAAATCCTTTAGTATTTATTTGTAAAATTAACTTTCTTACTATTATTAAACGTGTATTTTAAACCTTGACTTCCTCCTTTAATTTATAATGAAACATGAAATTAGGTCTTATATCGTTTAAAAATAATTTTTTGTAATCATAATTTCAGAGCAATTGACTTTTATGTTTGCATTACCTGGTAATAATTGAAAATATTTCCATATAGTTGTTGATTATTCACAAGTAAAAAATGTTTTCGTTTTAATTTCAGAACAAGATTATGATCCAGACTCAACTACGCGTAATTCCTATTTCATATTAATAATACATTACACACGGCTTTTACATTAGTTTTTAAATTATTAGAAAAATCATAATATGTATACATTAATATGTATATATTAATTTTGCCATAACAATAGACATGTAAAAATTAATTTTGTTTTAAATTTTAGAGATCGAATCCGAGATTAAACTGCAAAGATGGTTACGCGAAGCTTCAGGTAATTATAAAATTCAACATATTTTTACAAAAATTTTGCAAAACTGAAAGTTTTATTTTAGTTGTACTTAAAAACAATATCTTATTCGCTATACTTATTTCAATTTATGAATATCAATTTTTTTAATTTATTGTTCAACCAACAGTACAAGATTTAATTGAACGAATTTGACTCTTTTCATAGACGATGAGTTAATTGAGTAACATAAGTTACTTAATTCCGTTGAATAAAAATACTAAATCATAAACAAGGTTGTGTGCAATAGAGTGATGTGATCCAAAACTACTTCACCAATATAATTTTTTATGATTTTTAAAATATTTAATTCGCTAATGAGGACTTTTTTCCCGACTTCACAATTTAATTTAATAATTTAAATAATTGTTTGAATTTTCATACTAAAATTAACTATCATACGAATTCGACTTCTTTCATTCGAAAACGATCCGTCTATAGCCACAGAACATATTTATTAAAAAAATATCTAGTTATTTCCTCCGCTCCACGGAAAAACATTGAATCGTGGAAATGCTTTAGCATTACGGGTCCGTATAACCATAACGACTGTTTTATTATAAGGTACAATTAATAAAAACATTGAACATTTCAGTAAGATGCTTTTATATTACAAAATTGTAAGAATTTGAGTAGTCTTAAGCTTGTCACTCTTGATACACCTCTCGTTAATTAATCGTCAAGTTCACACTAAATAAACAAGCGTACACAAGTAAATGAATGGAATGAAATGAAAATGAAGAAGTAAATAAAATAATGAAAAAATTCGTAAAACCTCATCGCAACCATTCAACACTTTCTTATTAGATATTATTTGTATATTAACACGTTTTACACATAGGACTCTAGTATTTTTTCTTAATAAAATGAAATTCTAGCGTGGAGTTTAGAGCTGAGCAATTTATAGCAAACTTAACGTAGATATGGGCAGAATTATTAATCCCGGATTACTGGATTAAAATAATCCGTTATTCCATACATTAAAATTATGGATTACAAAATCCAATACGGATTACAATTATTCCATCATGGATTACAAGTAATCCAGTAATCCCGGATTATTGGATTATTTTTAATTAATCCAAGTAATCCGTTATTAAAAATTGCGGACTTATGGATTACAAATAATAATTAATTAGTATACTCTGCCCTAGTAGGTACTTTAACAAAGCTCAAGTTTATCTAGCTTAAACACATTTTATATAACAACGCTTTTTTGTCAATTTGTTAAATTGATTAAATAAATTATTTTGTTATTATTGTTTAATTTTATAATCTGAAAAATATGATATCATACCATAATCAAGTTAACATTTTACATTTAAAATTTTGAAATCTTTAGACTTTTGTATGCAGAAATCGGCTCAGCGGTTTAGTTTTACTCTTAGTTAAAAAAAAAACACATTATTGTAAAAACAATACCTCTTAGCTCCGCATAAAAGAAAAAAATGATTTAAATACATTTTAATTAAAAAAATATATTATTTAAGTACAATGTTTTGGATTACTGGAATGAAAAAAAAAACAGTAATCTTTAAGTTTGGGTTATTGGAATAAAACAAAAATCCTAAATTAATAATGTAATCCGTAATCCGTATACTAGGGATTATTGGATTAATAATGTAATCCGTAATCCGTTAACTAAGGATTACTGGATTAAATTTAGTCCTTAATACAAAAAATGTAGGATTACTGAAATAAATGTAATCCAGTTTTTTTATTAATCGTGGATTACTCGTAATCCGTAATCCATCTGTAATCGATTACGGATTGTAATCCATTTTGCCCATCTCTGGTCCCTGGTACTGTGGCCGCCAGCGACGGAGTGTGTTATATAATACCCTGTACCTACTATCATTATTCAATCACTAAATTTCTATCTTTATGTTGATGACGCAAAATCGTAACACGAATTTTCCACGCCAATTTTGGAATGCCACGCCGTCCAATATCATATCCATGTTACTTGTAATTAACAACAAAATTGTGACTAAGCCTATTGTATCTTAGTTTCAAAGTTACCGTTATACGTAGATCTAATAAAATACTAATTTTCAATAATCGTACAATTATTGATTGCATATTTTTATGTTTTTGTTACAGGCCTTGAGGCCGGTCAGATTGCAGCTGATGGTAATTACGCTTTATTCGACAGTCGTAAATAGCGTTTAAAAATCTAGATAGTCATTCGAAATGTATTTTAAGTCAATCCAAGTTTCCGTAACGTAATGAGAATAAACTGTTAAAATGAAAACGTTCAATTTACAAGTTGATAGTAAACTAAACATAACATTATACAAATATTTGTTAAACAACTATACGTTCATTTAAACGCTTTATATTTTAACGTTCAAACCCCGTGACCTCCAACTGAACGCAAAAAAATGATACTTTCACTGAACTATTTAACTTATAACGTAACACGTTTCAACTTCAAAAACCTCTACCTTGAACTGAATGTTTAACCTTTATTTGCAAAAATTTAATCAACAAATGGTTTTTATACCTTTAGTTCAGTGTAACGGTTTTCTAAGTTAAAGCGTATGACGTCATAGGTTTAAAAGTACAATGAACGCATAACTTTTTTGCGATTAGTTAGAGGTAATAGTTTCTGAACGTTTAACAACTTAAAGTTCATTTGAAAGTTATATTTTTTACCGTTCAAAATCCGTTTCTCTGAACTGAAGGCACAAAAATATTATGTTCATTCAACTTGTAAACTAAAAACGTTCCACGTTTTAACTTGTATGAACGATTTGTGTGTATGTTTAATGTGTGTTTTTCGAATAATGCAATTTGCAAATTTGAAATTTTGCCGTGTATACTTAGGTTACAAAATTGTCATAATAAAAATATTTTACAAAATTATTTATTCTTTGTTTAACACAATTATTGAATTTTTCAGTTAGATGTCAAACAAGTGTGAATGATCTTGGAGAAGCCAGAAGACTTATGTTAAAATCAGATTTAAGAGATTTACTAATCCATATTCTAAAAAGTATATAAAAAACTAATAATAAAACAGTGGTTACACGGAAAAAAAAATCATATTCGGACCAACAAACATTACAGTTAACATAAGACATTTATAGTTGAAATAATTACATAAGTAAATCGTCTAACTAATTTCCTAGTGAGAGAAACTACAAACATAGTTCAACAAGTTTTTTTAATTTTTATTCCACCATTACAGTTTTTTATTTAGTTATATCCGTACCTCGGAGCAAAAGTGTATTAAATAAAAAATTTCAATTTTTCGGTTTTTTGGTTCACCTAGATTTAAATTTCACGCTCTATTCACTGCCTATATATGACTTTTGGACTCTAAATGGGTCCATCTAATTTTATTTATTTTAACAAATTAGTTAGTTATTTATTAATTAGAGGTTTAGAGGTGGACGATAAAGAAAAAAATGTGTGCCTTAAGTGAAAATATGGAAATGTATAAAGGCGCAAGTACAAGAGTGAAGAGTGTGTGTGTTGAAATAAAAGATTTTAGTTTAAGAGTTGGTGTGCATCAAGGTATCGTGTTTAATTTTGGAGAATGTTGTAGGGTAAGACAGGTAATGCAGTTGGGTGATGATAGAGCGTGTGAAGTTGATAGGTTTAGGAAGAAGAAATTAGTAATTATTAATTTATTAATAAATAATAGTTTTATTTTTCACACTCGTGTAAAATTTACATTTTGTGACTCAATACACTTTTTCTCGTGGGTGAGGATATAAGATGGATAATAGATTAGCCTTAATTTTAGTTTGTCCATATATGTATTTTTTTCAGTGCAGCAAGCTAAATTTGGATAACTTTTAAAAACTTATTTTTTTTAGACCCGAGTACCCACAATATGCATTTTGAACACACATGTCGACTCATAGGATTGTTCTTGAGTATGAAAATTACAGCACCAAGTGCTTACACAACAAGTGCTGATGTTTCACTACCGCCCGACTACACTTGTGTCATACGTCATGAAAGTGATATCTTGCAGTCATTCAAACTATTTCCCCGTTTTATACGTTTTGTCAATAACGAAAACCATCGTACTGTAGGGGGGAGCATATTGGCATTTATACAACATTATTAGTATATTAGCACACTAATTACAATAATTTGTATTGGCTTAATATACAGGCCATTTAGGTCCTTTTTCGAGACCACTACTCCTCTCCATCCATCCCATCTGTCGACATTGCTTCACCATTATTTAATATTAGTAATTTTAATTCCTTACTTTTTTCTTAATACAGAAGGTGAAAAATCCTTAGTTATGGCTCTCCATTACAAATATTTTAATTAGTCCATAAAATAATGTTATTTCTAGATAGGTAAATAAGCATTTCTCTACTAAATAATTTGAAATAATACTTCTTAAAAAAAATGTGTCTGAAAAATTAAATCACATACAGAATTGGAAAAAGTAAAACATAACATATGTGTATCAATTTCAAAAAATATTATAAAACAAACTACAGTTTCAATTTTTAGCTTTTTTTTAGTGTAAATTATTGATTCCTATATAGCTTACCTACAATATCTAAATTTTACAGTAATGCTGAAATTTAAAAAAAAACCACAAATTTTTTTAAAAACCTCAAACAGATGGGTACATAATAGTGATTATATATACCTATATACATATATAAATATATAATATATGTATAGTTTATACATACAGAGGCGATTATTTTATCATGAACCAGTCAATATCTCACTAGGTTTAATCAATAGTTGAATTTCTTTTTTATAATGTTTTTATAAAATGTGATCTCAATTTTTCACATTTTTTTTTTGTTTTACCCAATTTAGTTTTTTTGATAGCAACTTTTGAAACCTAAATTAATTAGTTAATATATTATGTACATTAGTATATAATATATTAGCTAATTAATTATGAGTTTAAAAGTTAGGATGGGAGGGGAAATGCGGCTGGGTAATGCGCGCAGATAAAAATAAAAATACACACCACCTTTTCTCCTGCCCTAAACTTGAAACTTGAATAACTTCAAAAATAATTATCTGAAACTGGATATCGACCAGTCAAAATTGTTAGTACATTATTCTCAATTTAAAATGTTAAGGGGATTGCATGCAGTCGGGGTTTTCAGTCAAAACACATCATTTTTTTTCCATTGCACAGACTGAACCAGTGATCCGATAAGCAATTTAAAAACGTATTCGTATTCGCCATGCAGTTTACTTAGGATCGGTCAGAGTACTTTTTTCAATTTTTAATTTTAACCCTTTCCAAATTTGATTTCGTATTTGGAGTTTTTGTATAATTTTCAAACTTGTTTTTTACATAGTAGGATTAAGATATCGAAAAAGTACGCTGACTGATCTCAAGTAAACTTTGAGACGAATTCAAATCTGTTTTTAGATTACTTATCGGATCACTGGTTCAGTGACGGAACTAAAAATTCATATTATATTACCTAAAATGATTTAAGTTAAAAATAATATTTAATGAATTTATTCTAATAATCAGAGATTAAGTATTAAACTACACTGAAAAATTTAAATAAAGAATCAGTTCTAACACTTCTAGGGGCAAGGATTTTTGGTATATTTTGTTGAGTTTGATCTCACTGTCCTAATTAATGCGATGGTATGCAATAAAATTCATAAATTAAAAATTAGAGTATAAATATATAAAAACAGAAACAACATAAACAATAATGGAAAAAAAATGGAAGGAGGTTTTAGTATTGGCAATTCGCATAATTTTTTTTTAGAGATTGGTTGGTAGCATAAATATGTTTTATTATGCGTTTTACACAACATTTTTTTTTACTGCATTATTTATTGTTGATATATCGACTCCGCATAGTATGTATATTAGTTTAAAAGTTTTTATTTTATCAAAAACTAGTGACGATGAAGTATGTTTTATAAAAATATTATTTTTTCTTCGATTTGAATTGGTGAATTAACCGAATTCAATCGAAGTAGCAGAATCAATATGCATATTCAGTTTGCCTATCAAATTTAGACATATGTAATAAAACTGGTCAATAGCATGAAAAAAGAATAAATATGTTTCATATTTTTAAACTCATATCATATGTGTAAGCAAATTGTACCTATATATTGTTGGCTTTCGTGTAGCAAGGGGATGCTAAAACTGTTAGTTGATAACTTATAGTTATCATGCATTAAACGAAAAATAGCAATGTAATTACAATATGTCTTGAGGGGTAAAATATAAAATAAAGGCATTGCGAACACTTCAACGATGATAAAATACAAATATATAAAATAAGTATTCAAAACAATATATGTAAACATACAGTACTCCAAAACAAAAAAAAAAGGCCAAACATATAAAACACATAAACACACAAACTACCAATTGAATACGATTAAAAAACAAATTGCTTATCACACTTGTAAAAACAAATGTACTTACTCATTTAAAGAGAGACATTGCGCAAAACAACATAAAAATATAAAAAAAAAAATACCTCATCGTTTTGAAAAAATGTTACAAACTAAAAAAAAAAATTTCGATATTCAAAATCAAACAATTATTATGATCAACTAAGTAAAATAATTAAAAATGGTTATTAGCTATATATATTAACCCTTCATATGTTAGTGGCCTCTATGAAAACCGTACTGTGGCATATATTATGAAGGGCACTTGTAAAAATACCCTAGATGGGCAGAACTGTTTTTTTCATTAAAACGTTCTTTTAGAATACTATTACCATTCTACAACTTATTTGTATCATTTTTGTTTAAGGGAACATCAATGTTACTTTAAAATTAAGTCCTGTAGATGGTGGCTAAAATAGATGCCACCAAACTATAAAGGGCTATGAATTTTCCTTGACTATGTACTTATTTTATACCTACATAGTTTTAGAAGTGTCGATGTATCATTAAATAAAATTCGATTGCAATCATTGAATAAAAATTACTCTACTTAGCATAAAGTTCAGAGAAAATGAGTGTCTTACGTTAGATGGATCACCCATATTTTTGAGACCGATATATTTAAACTTTTTGTGCTCATAAATCTTCTTTGCGCAAATAGTTACATTGATAAATAATATACTGTTCAAAACTACAGAACATAAAGATTTCAATAATATATAATTTAATGATATTAATTTACTATAACATTTTATAATCAGCAATAAAAAATACAGTTTTTTTTCTTAAATAGTTCTTTTTGTATTTTTCTTGAACGCAAAACTAGTGTAAGACAGAACAATCGTTTATTAATACTTATAGTCTACCATATATGTAAAATTTATAAAGAATTACATTGTATACTTATTTGAATTGTTTTACTTCGTAAAATTCAAAAGTCATAAAATATCTGAAATTAACATAAAACTTAAAATTATAACCACTTTTATGAATAAATGGCAGGTGTACAAGCCACTTTCGACAATCACGATTGTAATACGGTTATCACCATATAATATTATATAATCACGATGGTTACATTAATAATATTTTATCGACATTGATAAACATAACCAAAAACAGATTAATTTTACAGCTGCTTTTTTATTGATAAAAAAGTGTATACCGTGTTTATAGTCTTTATAATGGTGGCTTTTATGGATGCCACAGTTGTCTTGTTTATTAAATTTTAATTTTGGATCTGCACGTTAAAGGGTTAAGTATTTATATACTTATTAGCAAAATAAATAGTTATCACACGGAAGTCGTTGGATTTTTTTTAACTGACATTTTTATCATAAATAACTATTTTAGCTAAAAAAGTTCAATAGGTAATAAAATAGACATAATTAAAATCTATACATAACAGGATCCTTCCGCTCATTAGTTAAAGAGCCTACCTAATGAAAATACATATTATTGTAATAACTTAATAATCATTGTTATTAAATTTTCATTGAGCACCACATTTAAGAGACTCCCATTATTAAGAATTGGTCGTTAAGTAACTATTTAAATAAAAAATCTGTTAATGAAAATATTGTAAAATTCAGCCTCTACCAAACAACTAAGAAACGAACAAGGTATCTGACAGTCATTAGTCATACAAAAGAGAGATTGGTCACCCAAACATTAAAAATAATTATTATTTCTTAACATAATACCATATTTATAATAATGACCAATACAAATCAAATTTAAATAATTAACAACAAAATTTGTAATAAGTATTAAAATTTATATTTCAAAAGTATCATGATTAGGTTTGAAATTTTTTTTTAAATATTTTATGCATTTCTTTAGCTTTGTTTTAACTCTTCGTGGTTCTCCTATATAATTGTATCACATGATTCTCGTTTTCATTCATCATCTAAAATGTCTATTTATTTTTTAATATATTAGCATTATATTTTATGTTACTGAAAGGTTAGAGGCCCAGTCTACTACTTGTACTACTACTACTACTACTACTACTGCTACTATTTTTGTTCATATGACACTAATTTTAATTATGATGGTGTCTGCTAAAGTAGTGTTGATGACCTGTATGATGACCACGTCATCAATATAGGTTACATGTTATTTAAATAAATGCGGGCAGTACTTCCGGCGACTCGAGACTGATGACCAAACAAATAAATTATCAATAAACGTTAAATTGCAAATATATATAAAATAGACGGAAAGGCATTGCTTTTTGTCAGTCGAATTTACCGTAACCACATGTCATCAGTCAAGAGTACTTGGTTGTCGCTGTCCGTCTGCAAGGTTTAAGTTTGAAAGTTCGTTCATTTAACACCTAGCAGTCTCTCCTCATCCCTCGTGAACTTGTCTTGCGATTCGTTCGGACCCCTCGTACTTAATCATTCCTTTATCTCTCCAAGCATTCGTGTCTTGCGATTCGTTCGCACCTTGTACCTATCCTTCCTCAATCTGTAATTCTTTTAATCCAGTGTGAACAACGGCACTTCGACATCCGCGAACAACCCGGACGGCAATCCGTTATACTCTTGTGCTCTGACAAGTTTGAGTTCAACCAGTGTCATTATTTTTATCTTATGACAGCGGCTTAAACGATTTTGTATTATTAAAGCTGGTTTGTTTTATTAAAAGTGGTATACTTCAATTGACATTTACTCGGTCATAACACATAAACATGAGCCTATGCATCCGCTTGTAGTGTGGATACTTTGAATTTTTTTTAATTAAAGTTAGCTTTTGCTCATTTTTACACTGAATGGAGTGGAGTTGAAGGAAAAAAAAAATGTTCGATAAAATCCAAAAACTAAATGTTTGTAAAAAAAAAAAAGAATTAAACGGTTAGGTTAGGTGGTAGTGAAGTGGTAGTCGAAATAAAACTTAAACATACCATTTGTGTTTACTTTGATTGTTGTTGTGTACAAAATATATTCATTATACACATTCGTGATAATATGCGTAAAGATAAAGTGTTAGTCCAACA